TATTCGATTTTTGCCGTATGTACCAAATCTCCCATGATTTATAAGGATAAACGCAGTATATTTGCAATGCTAAGAATAAACGCGGTATGAAGCCCATTCGCGCCTAAAGATACCGCGGACATCCTTAGTACGCAAAAAATACCGCGCTCTTAGTAACGCCTAAATTTTCTGTAGCAACAACACACACTATGACATGCGCATTACAATAATTGTTTTAATAATTCTGACAAGATGACATTGAGTTTTAGCTGTGCCAGTGCAAATTAATCTGATTTTATCAAGAACTGGTGCTTTTTGACATTTTTGGTTAGAATGGTTAATTCTTCAGATATATCAGCCAGTGAAATTCTGTTAAACTACTTTGAGCCCGGCCACAGTTTTATGGCCGCTGATAGCTTTCATCACCAGATAGAACTATCCTTAAAAAGACATGGGAAAATATACGACTTTGATGATTTTTCTAAAGCGGTTCGTGAGTGTAGAATTAAAAACAAGCCAGAAATTAAAGTTATGAATTTTACTGATTTTTATTTATGGAAAGATTTTAAATCCCAGCAAAAAGGCAAACAGGACAGCAACCGATCGCTTCTGACAAATATAAAATAGCTACAAGCAAGCCGCGGATCATTTGTTCTAAAATACAAAAACTCGTGTGATCCAAACGCAGAACTCAAAACCTTGGATTTTTTGTGCAAGAAGGCAATGAAAAAATGTGGCTTAGTTCTTCCATTAACCTACCTTTCTGGACCACGAGGCTTTCCTAAATAAGAAAGATGAACTATTAAGGGTGTTAAACGGTATCATTCCAGAAAGCAGGCAAATATTTTGGAAAAATTTGCCCGAATGCGAAGGATAATAAATATATATTACCTATTGTTAAAAGCATTTTTTAAATCCATTTTTTATTTCTTATTTTAATAAAATTGTTGTTGATATATTTAACGTGTCTTTAAAAAAATGAATTTCATGCACGTACCACGCTACGGATAAACGCGGTAAGGCAGAAAATCAACACTTACCGCGTTTATCCTTAGAATGTTACAATAATTTAACAAAATATTTGCGGTATGTGGAATCTTGAGAAAAATACAGTATTTTTTTAAATTTAAGCTATTTAGGGAGTAAACACTATAGTCACAAAACAAAGGTATTCACCCAAAAAAGTAAACTTTTATGACACATATCTAAAGGCTGAGAGAGAACACAAAAAACGTGTTTTCTCAGTTTCATGTTTTTGTGACATACCGCGTTCTTCTTTATGAGGGCAGAATTAAGATATCCTTTTTATTGATTAATTCATCAACCCTCTTTTTGCTCAATATCTAAGATTTATATGAGAGAAATTAAAGACGTATTTTGTAATTATTGCGCAGTTTTCATCATAATAATAAAAGTATTTGATTAATGACTTCAATTTCATTTAAGTTCATAAATTATAAGTTATTAAAAAAAGATTTCTTTTTAGGTGCAGAACATGGTCGTCGTGTAAGTCAACAATACATGGTAAATGGAACGGAATCAAGAGATAGACCACACACCCTCTCAGATTACGCAATAGATCACTTCAGACCTCCCAGTAAACGCACAATGTCCAAAACCCTAACGTTAACGACCGCTAGAAGGGGTATAGACGATTTATGGCGACATTCTCGAGACCCAATTAAACAACCCTTATTAAAAAAACTTCTCACCAAAGAAGAACTGGCCGACGAAGCCGTTTTTTCATTCAGCGCTATCTTAAAATACATGGGAGACTTACCATCGAAAAGACCGCGATTAGGTAACGAATATACCGATCATATTTTTGATGGGCCGTTAAAACACGAGATTTTACGCGACGAAATTTATTGTCAAATAATGAAACAATTAACTGATAATCGAAATCGAATGAGTGAGGAGAGAGGTTGGGAATTAATGTGGTTGGCGACTGGGTTGTTTACGTGTTCGCAAAGTTTGTTGAAGGAGTTAACTTTGTTCTTGAGGACTCGTCGTCATCCGATTTCTCAGGATTCTTTACAACGTCTTCAAAAAACTTTAAGAAACGGGCAAAGAAAATATCCCCCTCACCAAGTTGAAGTCGAAGCAATCCAACACAAAACCACCCAAATCTTTCACAAAGTCTATTTCCCCGATGACACAGATGAAGCGTTCGAAGTCGATTCAAGCACCAGAGCAAAAGATTTTTGCCAAAATATTAGTCAAAGATTGAGTTTGCGTTCAAGCGAAGGTTTTAGTTTATTCGTGAAAATCGCTGATAAAGTTATTTCAGTACCGGAAGGGGACTTTTTCTTTGATTTCGTGAGACATTTAACGGATTGGATTAGAAAGGCGCGACCAACTCGTGATGGGATTACCCCACAATTTTCTTATCAAGTATTTTTTATGAAAAAGTTATGGACCAACACTGTTCCTGGAAAGGATAGAAACGCAGATCTTATTTTCCATTTTCATCAAGAATTACCTAAATTGATTAGAGGTTACCATAAGTGTACTAAAGAAGAAGCCGCTAAATTAGCCGCTTTGGTTTATCGAGTTCGATTTGGCGAAAGTAAACAAGAATTACAAGCAATACCGTAATAATAATAAATTTTTTTTTTGTCTTGAGTTAATCTTGATGTTTTTTTTTTATTTTTTAGCCAAATGTTGCGTGATATAATTCCATCTGATTTGATTAAAATCCAAAATGCTAATGATTGGAAACGTGGGATTGTTGCATCTTATAACACGGATGCAGGGATGAGTCCAGAAGATGCTAAAATAACTTTTTTGAAGATCATTTATAGATGGCCCACGTTTGGGTCGGCTTTCTTTGAGGTTAAACAGACCACAGATCCGAATTATCCCGAAATGTTATTGATTGCTATTAATAAGCATGGAGTTAGTTTGATTCATCCTGTTAGCAAGGTTTGTTTTTTAATTTATAGTAAAACCTCGATATAACGGATTAATACGTGGTTACTTAGGTTCAATGAAAAATATACAAGAATCTAACGCTAAATAACAACAATAGTTAGAATTAAGATTGCTATTAGAACTAACACTAGAGCTTGAGCTAGAAACATTCGGGTTTAGACACACGTCTCTTAAGACGGCTAAATCCGAATGCTTCTAGTTCTAGATCTAGTGTTAGTTCAATAAAAATATACAACAAAATAGTGCTGAATTAAATTAAAACTAGAACTAACACTAGACCTAGAACTAGAAACATTCTAGTTCTAGGTCTAGTGTTAGTTCTAGTTTTAGTTCTAGGATCAAAACTAACACTAGACCTAAAACTAGAATCATTCGGGTTTAGCCGTCTTGAGACTTGCGGCTTAACCCGAATGTTTCTAGTTCTAGGTCTAGTGTTAGTTCTAGTTTTAGTTCTTGCATCAAAACTAACACTAGACCTATAACTAGAAACATTCAGGTTTAGCCATACGCCTCTTAAGTCGGCTAAACCCAAATGTTTCTAGTTCTAGGTCTAGTGTTGGTTCTAGTTTTGCACTAACACTGTTACTAGAATTACCACTAGACCTAGAACTAGAATCATTCGGGTTTAGCCGTCTTGAGAGACTTGCGGCTTAACCCGAATGTTTCTAGTTCTAGGTCTAGTGTTAGTTCTAGTTTTAGTTCTGGCATCAAAACTAACACTAGACCTATAACTAGAAACATTCAGGTTTAGCCATACGCCTCTTAAGACGGCTAAACCCGAATGTTTCTAGTTATAGGTCTAGTGTTGGTTCTAGTTTTGCACTAACACTGTTACTAGAATTACCACTAGATCTAGAACTAGAATCATTCGGGTTTAGCCGTCTTGAGAGACTTGCGGCTTAACCCGAATGTTTCTAGTTCTAGGTCTAGTGTTAGTTCAATAAAAATATACAACAACCTAGTGCTAAATCGCAATTAAAACTAGAACTAACACTAGACCTTGAATTAGAAAGTTTCGGGTTTAGCCGTGCGTCTTCAGACGGCACGGCTAAACCCGATTATTTTTTTTTTTACGAGGTTGGGGAAAATCTGCGAAACAGACATCTGACCTGGGATCTTGAGCGGTCAGATAGTGTGGGGTTAAGGCACAAAAGCCCCGACCCACTAAAAACCCCTTTCCTCGTCTTCTCCGGGAACACTCTCACGAGCTTTCTTCGGAGTATTGTAAATTCATTCTCTCTGCCATTGTACCTTCTCCTCCCTTTCCTTTGTTACAACTACCTCCCTTACAAACTCTTCCACAATCTTCCATTTTTCTTCACTTTTTAGCATAACTTTCGTACAGTTTTCCGGCGTTAGCTTAATTTTCAATTTTTTCCACATTTCCTCGCGTATTTCATTCCATCTTTTACAAGCAAAAAATGTATGCTCCACATCATCTATTTTATCTTCACAATAATCACACATTTCTTCCTCTCTTCTCTTATGTTTGTGTAAGTAGGCTTTAAAGCAACCATGACCACTCAAGAATTGGCACATAGAATAATTTATTTCTCCCCATTTCCGAGTAACCCATGTTTGAACATTTGGAATTATTCTTTTCGTCCAATGTGCTTTACCAGTGTTCGTGGTCCATCGATTGTTCCATTCCTGCATTATTTCCTCCTCCAGAATGTCACGATCCTCTTTTGTTTTCCATCTAGACATTCGCCTTCTTGCCATCAACTCAATTGGGAATGAGTTTGCAATGACCAATAACGCTTCCGTAGAGACAGTTCTGTAAGAACTGACAATTCTTATCAAAATCTGTCTCTGTAATCTCGTCATCTTTTCTTTGTGTTTTTTAATCTCAAACACCCCACTCCAAGCTTTGCAGGCATATAGCATCTGCGAAAAAACTACCGAGCCTATCAATTTCCTTTTCTCCATACTTGGTCCATATGTCGAACCCATCATCCTGTGCAATGCATTTATAGTTTTCTGCGCCTTATTGAATACATATTCAACATGAGGACCCCATCTCAGGTCTCTACCAATCATTACACCCAGGTATTTGAGTGAATTTCTAGAATTTACAATATGTCCTGCCACATTAATCTCAATTTCTCCTCTACTTTTCCCACTTTTCATCAATACGCATTCAGTTTTCTCCGGTGCCAGCTTTAAACCCATAAACTCTAATTTATCAATAATTACTTTAATAACACGATGTGCTATATTGGTAATATACTCCTTACTCCAACCAGAAATTATAATGGCCAAATCGTCTGCATAAGCTACAAACTTAACATCTTTAATTTGCATATCATCTAAAATTTGATCAAAAAAAATATTCCAAAGTAGTGGACCCAAAACAGATCCCTGAGGGACACCTCTAGTCATCGGGAAACTGGCATTATTACAAATCACATATCTTTCTCCTAGATAGTCTTTAATACAGTTAATTAATTGAACAGATATTTCTTTTTCTTCCATACATCTAATTATCTGTTCCCATGGAGCAGAACCAAACGCATTTTTCACATCTAATGTTATTAAACAGCATAATTTCCTTTTACCTCTCCTAAATTTATCGGCCTAGTGTTAATTCTAGTACCAAAACTAACACTAGATCTAGAACTAGTAACATTCGATTTTAGCAGCACGTCTCTTAAGACGGCTAAACCCGAATGTTTCTAATTCTGGGTGTAGTATTAGTTTAAGTTTTAGCCGTTTTCAGAGACGTACATCTAAACTCGAATGTTTCTAGTTCTAGGTTTAGTGTTAGTTCTACTTTTAGTTCAATAAAAAATACAATAATCTAGCACTCAATAATAATTAACATGATTTATTCATCGGGGAATACCCCGTGTTTAACTAACTAAGTCCATTATATCGATTTTACTGTAATATTTCTTTCCTGAATCACGTAATTACCTTAATTACCTCTACTAATTATTCAAGTATAATAACAGGAAGTTCAAGTGCAAACAATAGTTACTTTAAACAATTAGATTTTCTTACATCGTTATTATTAAAATATTGTGAGAATTTAAAAATTTTCTTTTTGTTACAGGATATACTTGTAACACATCCTTTCACAAGAATATCAAATTGGTCTTCTGGTAATACATATTTCCATATGACAATAGGAAATTTAGTGAGAGGATCGAAATTGCTCTGCGAGACGTCGTTGGGGTACAAAATGGATGATCTGCTTACTTCGTATATATCATTGATGCTCACAAATATGAATAAACAAAGAAGTATTCGTATAAAATCCTAAAAAAAATTAAACTTACCTAAAATGAGAGTTAACAAGGAGAAAACAAGGTGTTATTTTTAACAATTTATCTTCGAATTACATTAATGATTATTGTAAATGGTGTTTAAGTGAAAAAAATATATTTTTTAAAAGGAGCTTTTATATGATAAAATAAAATACGTATAGAAATTGTAAATAGTTATAATATCGAAGATTTGATTTCTTTTTTGCATTCTTTATTTATTATTCGATCTGAGTTGATACTAAAAAGAAAAAAATTAATTCTAATTATTCTTCGTGGTTTTATTTTTGTTGTGGTATTTGTAGCCTACACATAGAATTCTCAAATATTAGCATATTTTATTTAAAAAAATTGTTGAATCTACGCTTTTATCTTATTATAAAGAAAGTAAGCATATCTGGTGTGAGTGAATCTTCTTCTATTTTATTACATCATATTTTGTAGCTCATTTATCAAAAAAAAATATATGTATCTGAGATTAATTTTTCTTTTTTAATTGTTATTATTAAATTTGTTATTTTTTTCTCAACTTTGTGAAAATTCTAAATACATTCTTGAAATCCGTCCAATAAAGAAAAATTTATTGAATATTTTTCTAGAACTTTTAATCATAAAAAATTGTCTATTATTAAATTTCGCAAAATGTAAATCGTCTTTATTAATATAAATTATTTTAAAAATGTTGTTCTTAAATATTTGAATTAAAAATTAATCCAACCTAATCATTATTCCTACAAAAAATGTTGCGAAATCCCCATAAATAATTAATTAGGTGCTAAAACCCCATAAATTTCAGCTTTAATAGAAATATCAATAAAAAAAAACTTAAGAAAAGGAAATAAATCGAAATTATGTACAAGATTACAAGAAAACAAACTGTATAAATAAACGAATCGCTTTAAAATGATAGAATTCGAATGAGATCCCAAGAAAGAGAAAGATTCGGTTCCCACACTTAATGATCTGGTTATTATTTCCTCTTCTCGCATACCGCCAATCCGATGACGAGCAACGTGCTCGCAACTTCTCCGTGTGCCTTTAACGTGGGGGCCATGGGAATGAGGACCCCCTTATTAATATACAGTAGGAGGACTAATTATTAAAAATGACGCCGGACGATTGTCTTTTTTACTACACACGCGTACAAGAGAAAAATTCCCACAAAGCTGCGATTTCTTGCCGAGATTTGACCCAGGCATCAACACCGTGTGAAAAGAGAGGAAACGATTCTTTTACTTATGTTAGTTTTAAATGAAGACTTCTTTAAGAATACGGAATATAAGCATGTGAAAATCTGGAGCACTTCCGCACCGACGCGAGTAATCTCCGCCTTTTGTGGTGCGTGGTATAATAGAAGGATATTATAATTACAAGTTTACTCCTCGGCTCGGTCGTCCATTGTAAAAGGGGAGTGTAATTGTATTTTATAAAGTCTCACGGAAGTTCGAATGAATTTCATTAAAAAGTATTTCTTTACAGCATCATTTTGATATTTAATTAAAAAATTTTGAATTAAATACATAAGTGAATGTTAAAAAGTTTAATTGAAGATTTCGTTAACAAAAAAGATCCAGGTCTAGCTTTATTGGTTGGGCTGTTACGGATCGTTCACTCCCAGGCGCGATCCCGCTACTGCACGACGCGGGGATTTTTGGCTGCTGAGTTTCCCCCCTGGCCCGGTACACCCCTCCTTGGCCGACCTGGGGCTCCCGGACTCCTCCAGGTGCCCCATATCGACGCCGAGCTTAGCCGGGACACCCGGTCGACGCGAATCGAATTCCGTACCAGGACTCCCAACCTCAAACCATCCACTGAACCCGACTTCCAAGTAGCTGGATTACAGGAGTACGCCACGCTCCCAGACGAATTAAAACAGTGTTTACAATATTCCTAACAAAAAATTTAGGACAAATGATTAAAAAATTATACATATATATCTAAGAACTTTGTGGTCTCATCAAACCCACTTTAGCCATTAAAAAGTAACTCGTAGCATCTATTTTATATACATATAGAGACATAGCAAAGAATCAATTAAAACGCATTGTAACAAAAGAGTTGAAATCCAGCTTAGCTTTTTTGCTCCTTGCATGCTTCTTTCTATAATCTTGACTGCTGTTGATATTTTCGGAGAGTGGTTCTTTGGAATATGATCTGCTAATAAGCACGTTTTCACAAAAATTGGTCATTTTGCATTCATTAAATAATTTTTTATTCTATCTAGATACACAAAACATCTTATGAAGCAAAAAATATTCACGCAGAAACATGAAAAGAAATTTTTACGAGTATATCAACGTGGTATTTTCTAAATGCCCATCAAGTCAACTCTTGACTATGTGATTCCAGTAGTTTTTGAACACAATCATTATGCACCTCTAAATTTTTTTGCCTGGCAAGATGGGCTACTTCTTTTATTTTGATGAGTATCTGACGTTGATTTTCCATGATCTTCAATGATTAAGAAAAAAGGAACATAGTTTTTCCTAGATACCATTTAAAGTTTTTTGAGAAACTTCATTTGAAAATTGTCCAATAACTCCCGCTGCATGTAAAATATTGAATTGCTTCTAAAAGTCTTTAACAAATAACACGTTGTTTTGTTAGCTTCATGTAGATGCGTAACTCATCGGCTCGTCCAGTAATTTTAATAACTCCTTGATCCATCAGTTGAAGGTAAGTAAGTATTCGGGTGTAAAAGCACAGCTATCAGATGGGTAACTAACACATGGGTTGAAATTAATTAGAGTAACAGGAGGAGGACCTGGTGTGTTCGACTTCAAGTATGAAGTGGTGACTAAACAAGTCCTCAAAAAATGAATATGTCACCCAAGCCTTAACATTCGACTTCCAAATCACTGCAACCCAGATTTAGAAGCTCTCAGATGTTCTCAGTTTTAATTGTGTTAATCTTTACTATTAATCGATTCTTGGCGGCTATAAAACTCGGCGATTTTCTGGTATTGATTTAACGGAGATTAATTCTTGCTGGAACGTTGCAATGCGATGGGCAGCTTTTTTTTAACATTATATCAATCACATGGCCTCAGCTGCAAGCGACCTCGGCTTATTTAAGTAAAGGCCAACATACTCTGGTCGTGGTTTAGCCCAGCTTGGTCAATTCCTGCTAAAGCATTCAAAATGCACTGGGCAGCTTTTTTTAATATAATATCAAGTACGCTGGTCGTGCCTTGGTCTAGGTCAATTCCTGCTGGAACATTCCAATGCGCTGAGTAGCTTTTTTTAACATTATATCAATCGCAAGACCTCGGCAGCAAGCGACCTCAGTTTATTTAACTAAAAACCAACGTATTCTGGTCATGGCTTGACCTAGCTTGCTCAATTCCTGCTGGGACATTCCAATGCGCTGGGCAGCTTTGTTTTAATATGATATCAATCGCCTAATGAAAAGTACGGAGATAGATCGAAATGTAGGTAACATTTTAAAAAGTCAAAAGCAAACAGGTGATTTATAAACTTTAACTTAATATACTGGGTTTTAGAAGCTATCAAAAATCTAAACCCTATCTTAAATCGATCTTANAAAGTCAAAAGCAAACAGGTGATTTATAAACTTTAACTTAATAACCTAAATAATAATAAATTAACCTAAATAAAACCGAAACATACACAATTTTATGGTTCTTAAACTCTTCTAATTGTTTCTTGATTATAAAAGTCTTGTTTATGATTCATTTCGTGTGTAAGGAAATTGAAATAAAAATGTCAAAATTATTTAGGTCTTATTGTTCTAAAACAATTTGAAAAATTATCAAAAAAATACTTATATGATTGTTTTAAAGGTTTACTTGTAGATTTTGTGAATAAAAAAGATCCAGGTCTAGCTTTATTGGTTGGGCTGTTACGGATCGTTCACTCCCAGGCGCGATCCCGCTACTGCACGACGCGGGGATTTTTGGCTGCTGAGTTTCCCCCCTGGCCCGGTACACCCCTCCTTGGCCGACCTGGGGCTCCCGGACTCCTCCAGGTGCCCCATATCGACGCCGAGCTTAGCCGGGACACCCGGTCGACGCGAATCGAATTCCGCACCAGGACTCCCAACCTCAAACCATCCACTGAACCCGACTTCCAAGTAGCTGGATTACAGGAGTGCGCCACGCTCCCAGTCGAATGAAAACAGTATTTATAATATTCCTAACAAAAAATGTAGGCTAAATGATTAAAAATTTAGTAGAAGGATTATTAAATCTTCATCAAATTTACTTTAGACTGTTCTTTATTTCATGATGATATCTCAATTCGTTTTTGAGATACGATTGTTTTAAATTTATATTTCATATCTTAATAATCAAAAAAGCAGAGTTGGGTTTAAAAAATCGTAACAACGATGTTTATGGAAAATAAGAAATTATTTTTGGTATATTAAATCTTGATTAAATTTGCTTTAAAATGTTCTTTATTTCATGGCGATATCTCAATTCGTTCTTGAGATACGATTGTTTTAAATTTATATTTTATATCTATAACAATCAAAAAAGCAGAGTTGGGTTTAAAAAATCATAACAACGATGTTTATGGAATATAAAGAATTATTTTTGGTATATTAAATCTTGATTAAATTTGCTTTAAAATGTTCTTTATTTCATGATGATATCTCAATTCGTTTTTGAGATACGATTTTTTTAAATTTACATTTCATATCTAAACAATCAAAAAAGCAGAGTTGGGTTTAAAAAATCATAACAACGATGTTTATGATAAATAAGAAATTATTTTTGGCACATTAAATGTTGATTAAATTTGCTTTAAAATGTTCTTTATTTCATAATGATATCTCAATTCGTTTTTGAGACACGATGTTTTTAAATTTATGTTTCATATCTACAACAATAAAAAATGCAGAGTTGGGTTTAAAAAATCATAACAACGATGTTTATGGAAAATAAGAAATTATTTTTGGCATATTAAATCTTGATTAAATTTGCTTTAAAATGTTCTTTATTTCATGGCGATATCTTAATTCGTTCTTGAGATACGATTTTTTTAAATTTATATTTTATATCTATAACAATAAAAAAAGCAGAGTTGGGTTTAAAAAATCATAACAACGATGTTTATGGAAAATAAGAAATTATTTTTGGTATATTAAATCTTGATTAAATTTGCTTTAAAATGTTCTTTATTTCATGGCGATATCTTAATTCGTTCTTGAGATACGATTTTTTTAAATTTATATTTTATATCTATAACAATAAAAAAAGCAGAGTTGGGTTTAAAAAATCATAACAACGATGTTTATGGAAAATAAGAAATTATTTTTGGTATATTAAATCTTGATTAAATTTGCTTTAAAATGTTCTTTATTTCATGGCGATATCTCAATTCGTTCTTGAGATACGATTTTTTTAAATTTATATTTCATATCTAAACAATCAAAAAAGCAGAGTTGGGTTTAAAAAATCATAACAACGATGTTTATGGAAAATAAGAAATTATTTTTGGTATATTAAATCTTGATTAAATTTGCTTTAAAATGTTCTTTATTTCATGGCGATATCTCAATTCGTTCTTGAGATACGATTTTTTTAAATTTATATTTCATATCTAAACAATCAAAAAAGCAGAGTTGGGTTTAAAAAATCATAACAACGATGTTTATGGAAAATAAGAAATTATTTTTGGTATATTAAATCTTGATTAAATTTGCTTTAAAATGTTCTTTATTTCATGGCGATATCTCAATTCGTTCTTGAGATACGATTTTTTTAAATTTATATTTCATATCTAAACAATCAAAAAAGCAGAGTTGGGTTTAAAAAATCATAACAACGATGTTTATGGAAAATAAGAAATTATTTTTGGTATATTAAATCTTGATTAAATTTGCTTTAAAATGTTCTTTATTTCATGGCGATATCTCAATTCGTTCTTGAGATACGATTTTTTTAAATTTATATTTCATATCTAAACAATCAAAAAAGCAGAGTTGGGTTTAAAAAATCATAACAACGATGTTTATGGAAAATAAGAAATTATTTTTGGTATATTAAATCTTGATTAAATTTGCTTTAAAATGTTCTTTATTTCATGGCGATATCTCAATTCGTTCTTGAGATACGATTTTTTTAAATTTATATTTCATATCTAAACAATCAAAAAAGCAGAGTTGGGTTTAAAAAATCATAACAACGATGTTTATGGAAAATAAGAAATTATTTTTGGTATATTAAATCTTGATTAAATTTGCTTTAAAATGTTCTTTATTTCATGGCGATATCTTAATTCGTTCTTGAGATACGATTTTTTTAAATTTATATTTTATATCTATAACAATAAAAAAAGCAGAGTTGGGTTTACAAAATCATAACAACGATGTTTATGGAAAATAAGAAATTATTTTTGGTACATTAAATCTTGATTAAATTTGCTTTAAAATGTTCTTTATTTCATGATGATATCTCAATTCGTTCTTGAAATACGACTTTTAAAATTAATATATTTCATATCTATAACAATTCAAAACAAGCAGAGTTGGGTTTAAAAAATCATAACAACGATGTTTATGGAAAATAAGAAATTATTTTTGGCATATTCAACCTTGATTAAATTTGCTTTAAAATGTTCTTTATTTCATGATATCTCAATTCGTTCTTGAAATACGACTTTTAAAATTAATATATTTCATATCTATAACAATTCAAAAAAAGCAGAGTTGGGTTTAAAAAATCATAACAACGATGTTTATGGAAAATAAGAAATTATTTTTGGTATATTAAATCTTGATTAAATTTGCTTTAAAATGTTCTTTATTTCATAATGATATCTCAATTCGTTTTTTGAGATACGATTTTTTTAAATTTATATTTCATATCTATAACAATAAAAAATGCAGTGTTGGGTTTAAAAAATCATAACTACGATGTTTATGGAAAATAAGAAATTATTTTTGGTATATTAAATCTTGATTAAATTTGCTTTAAAATGTTCTTTATTTCATGGCAATATCTCAATTCGTTTTTGAGATACGATGTTTTTAAATTTATGTTTCATATCTAAACAATCAAAAAAGCAGAGTTAGGTTTAAAAAATCATAACTACAATGTTTATGGAAAATAATAAATTATTTTTATCTTGATTAAATTTAAAAGCTTCTTTATTTCATAGCGAGATCCCAATTCGTTTTTGAGATACGATTTTTTTAAATTTTATTTCATATCTATAACAATCAAAGTTGTTTATTTAAAGGATATAATAAATAAAAAAAGCCAATTAATTTTAAATATAATTCTGTATTTGTTATTGTATATTTCTACAAAATCAGATCTAGAGAAATTTACAGATATGTCATGTCTTGTTACAGGTGCAAGTGTATATTTATAAGAAAATTTACGTACACATTTTTTTCGTTTAAAAACAGTTAGAGGAAAAAGGTCGAACACTAACTACATATTTACAAGATTTCTAACCGATAAAAAGAATACACAGATTCGTTGTTCATGTTTCGCTTTTACAAAACTCTACTTATAATATAAACGTATAATACACAGTACGCAAAATCGAATCTAAACGTAATATTTTTACAAGATATACTTTGATTTCTTAAATATTTTTCGGGAGATTCTTGCAATATCTACTAAAAACTATTCGTGTTATAATAGAATAATAATAAAGCTAAATACACGTATTTATGTACGTAAATAATTTCTTCTTTTTTAAGTTTAAACTTTGGTTTTAATTCTTTCTATTCGATTAATAATTAATTAAAAATTAAAAAGTGTATATTTTAATGACTTATTTATAAAAATAATGTTTTAGTAATCAATAAGATCATTGATTGTAATTTTATAAAATTTTTGATAAAGTGACTTGATGGGAAACCTTGTTATTTCTAAAATAACAAGTTTAAAAAGCTTTTCTTTTCTTCTCCATCATCTTGAATAAGTATGGGAAATTTCCCAAGCTTCCCATGGTCATTCAAGAAAAACAGAGTTTGCCGAAGTGCGTTTTATAACCACTTCCATCGTTTTTAAAACCAGCGGAACTCTGTGAGAATTTTCTCATGGAATAAATGGGGAAACAAAAGATTTGGTTTTTAATAAGAACGATTGTTGTTTTGTGTTGTTTTCGCGATGTTCACCTTTGTGATGAAGCAAATTACAACCGCTGGGTTACAATCAAAACACAATTATATTTTTAGAATAAAAATCATAACATTAACTGAATTAATTCAAAATGTCTTGGGTTTAAATTAAAATTAATAAATACAACCATTTTTTTTTCTAACTTAATGTTTTTCTCAGTTTATCTTTCTCATTAGATTAATTAATTATTGTGCATTCCACCTCCGCCAGTATGAGAGTTCCAAGATGGATCTGAAACTGACGAACTTGTGTGGGCTTGAGTTCGCCCTGAAGAAGATGTTCTCATGATTTCTTCGGCCGTTTGACAAGCGGGACGTGGTCCAGGTTCTGGGGTATACGTAAATGTTAATCCGGTGGCGTAAATTATCCCATCATTTCGTACCAAAGACACTGGGACTTGCGTTGGTTGTCTCACCCATAACCATTCACCCCGAAATTGTGATATATCCGGAACTACACATAACATAGATTCTTGACATCTACAAAAATAAAGAAAAATTTATTTATTACTACTTAAATTTTGAATCAAGTAAATAATTACCTGTACATAGTTTCAGCTTCAACATCACCAAACCAAACTTGAAGACTCGGCGAAAAATTATCCCCCGTAAGTTCTAACATGGCAACATCACCACCTCCATTTAAATGTAAACTATGTACTAAAGGCACTGGTGTAACCGGCGATCGAACGGGCCCCATTCCCTCGTAAAATTGATACTCCGCTTTATCAGTTGAGATGATCGTCCAACATGCACCATCGTTGATCATCTCCTTGTTCGGTTCCTTTGGACACGGCGTCGCTTGAAACTGAATTATCCTCTCTTGTGATAAACACAGGTACATCCGGTCGGTGTCTTTCATGTAAAACGCGCATTTGTGTAATTGAGAAACTGGGTCGTCTGCTTCTAATAAAGCTTGTTGTTTATCAACCTAAAAATAAAAACGAAAAATATAATTAATTATTTAAAATTATTATTATTCAAGATCATTTAAAAGGAAATTAAAGAGCTCTGCAGGAAGATTCACTCAGCTTAACATCTGCAAATGGTTTTAAACGACGAAAAGGGTACGAAATAAATCCTATTAGAGTGAGGCTGACATCATCTGTTGAGTAAATCGACGAATAAAACCGTAACGGAACTCGTCGTTGCTCTGGTCGATTTGTAATTTTCTCCTACTCTCCAAATCGATCCGCGATTACGAGCAAACACGCAACTACCGTTCGACATTTCCTCAATAAAAAAATTCGTAATTATTGTCCCTTTAAAATCTTAATTATACTATTTCATTGAATGTTTTTGAAAGATTGAATCTTAACTTGTTAAGATTTACCTGTAATACTCTTATTGATAAGTCAATTTAATAGCCCTTGCTGTAACAATTTCTTTTCCGTAAAAACATATTTTAAAACCAAATTCGAAACATTATTATTTAAAATGTTTTCTCCCAAACATCATTACAAGACTTTTAGAAGATAAATCGTTGTAAAAGGTCATCAAAGCTGTTATTACATCTTCATCACAAGTTACACGTTTCTGATCTTCATGCCACAAAGATGACATGAATCTTGTAGCTTTTTATCGGTTGATTCCTTAGCCAGAATAAGTTTTTGCGTTTTCTCAATTTTTGCTCAATATTTATGCTAAATTAAATCTACAACAAAAACGATTATTGATATCTAACATATTGAGTTGGAAAGATTTAAAAATATTTTCAAACAATTCTTTTCTATAAAAAAAAAAAAAACAAAATAATTTTATACATCTCTATATCTCGTCATCGTCCACTCGGCCGTAAACGAGAGAGACCCCCGGAGTACCACATGATCGTAATTTAGGACCGTGGGAAAACTAAAATCAAATCGATTCGCGCGCTCCACGCTCGATACGTATGTACACACATCGCCTCTATAGTACATATGTGCTTGTTCTCATATACACACACGCAATGTATGAAGCGTTGTGCACGAGGAGATCGACGAGGGGGATTGATTGGAAGCGTGAAAGAGACAGAATGCGAGCCGAAAGCCAGACTTACAGGCGACGACCACTCAAATGCAACTCTGTTGGTTGTCGTTTCGCGTTATGTACAATTTTTTCCTTTTTAACTTTTGCATTGCTATTACGAAAAAGAGAGTTGTATTATAACTCTCTAGGAAGGAGAGAAAATCTTGTTTTGTTGTGTGCATGAATGGGGTTTAGATTAAAATGATCTTTTCGTTTTGTATTTTGTTTTCAAGTTAACATGTAGATTTGATTTGGTACTTTCTTATTTAGAAATGTGTTGTAGCAACATTTTTCTTCATAAGATGGGATGATTTAACTTGCAAATTATATTCTTTAATAATTGGTTTAAATTGCGAAAAACAGGGCATATTACAGCATGGACAGCTCATATCCGTTATGTTAATAAATTGGTGTAGGGCAATTATACCAGAAACTTAGTTTCTATACATAAACAGCAAAGACCTTGTTGGAATAATTATCTTAATTGTGCGAAACTTGTAACTTTGGAATTACCATTCATTTTTCTCTTGGTTTTAAATTTTTTTTTTTTTAATTTCAATATAGGCATGAAAATTTGCTACTAAATAATACTGGGTCTATTATTATATAACATTAACTTAAATTCCTCGGCGATTATGTTAATTGTAAAAAAAGGAAATAAAGTGGAACGCGAAAGAAGTCGTTTGGAGACAAGTGCGAAATACGAAAGAGTTGTAGTTACTTCCGTTCTACAAAACGCTCCGCTTTGGAATGTAGGAACAACAATTCGTATTCGTACTTAGTACTCTACGTCTTCTCTCTTTTTCTCGTTCTTGTTCGGTAATGAAGCAGTAGTACTCTTTAAGCAGTTTGAGAGAGGACCAACACACGAACTCCTCCCGCGGCAATGAGGGCCTCTCCGCGTGATGATAGTCCGGTTCGACGGACTTTTCGTTTTATTTTCACCAACACGGCATATCACAACTGGACACATTCCAGAGTTTCACCGATGAGATAACGTTCAAAGAAACATGTTTCAAATTCAACATACCTAACAAAATCAAATAAAATATAACTTAATAAACTAAAGATTTTAAATAAATTATATTAATAATTTAAAGTAATTATATTATTAATTATGCATCATTCTTTATTATATCCTTATTAAATCTTGAGTTAACCTCAGAATGTAGCAAACACCTCTCAAGATTCGTGAAATTGGTAGACCGTTAAAAGCACTAAGTGATTGTGCTTGAATGCTGAGATTTCATTTATGGATAGAAACAATTTGCTCTTACAACTGCAAGTTTTTTGTTTGTTGATTACGGCCGTGGAAGAAAATAAACTAAAAAACAACAAAATAAAATGAGAAAATTGAACAATTTACTAGAGAAGAATCTATATATTAAGCTCACCGTCAGAATGATGTATTATCTATAATATATATTTCTACAAGATGTTCTAAATAAGCGGATTATTTCAGAACTTTTCTTGACTCTAGCACTAATATGAAATTTAAATTAAATTAATCTTAAATTAAATCTTGAACTTTCGATATAAAATATTTTCTAATCTGTTATTTTCCCCTGGAAGTAATTTTACGTAAATTTGATTACATATTTTGATTTTAATCTTTTGAGCAAAATTGCTTAAAAAACATTTAAATAGCTTAAGAATTTGAAATCAGTCAATTTAGCATTGCGGCGAATAAACATCAACCTAACTTTTGTGTCTCTTGTAGGATGCCTCATTCATAAAGCAAAATCAACAAAATATCTCGATTGCCACTTTGATGGCATAATAAACTGGAAGCATCAAATTCAGTTGTGATATACTCAAAAGTAGACAAATATACTGTAAAGTCCCTAGATTTACAAAGTACCGCGGTTCATGAAGCCTGTTTTCGAGCCAAAATGGCGGTTTGACAGCTTGTCACTGCATCTCACCACTTATTTACAAAAATATTGCCGTCTTGTTGCCTTTGGAGTTGCAAAAATAGCACTTTCGACTCTTCAGAGTACCACAAGAAAAAAAGAAAGGAAATTTGACGTAATGTTATCATTAGAACGACATAGGTTTAAATTTCCCGCTTGACTTTCGAGTCAAAATGGCGTCAAACCGCGGTACTTTAGCTTTGTTCGTTGGGACTGCACTATTCTGCACGACATGGCACTCGTATGACGTCATAGTGCAATTAAGTGGAAGTCAGTGCAATGTCATGTCAACTTAGTGCAGGTCAGAAAAGTGTACAAACCGTGGTCACAACGAACAGATTTTTATAAAAAAGTGTATAATATTTGAAATAGACGAACAGGAGATTGTCAACGAAATACTCGTGGAAAATGAAATCACTGCAGAATGTTTTTTTAGTAGCGATTCATCAATTATTATTATATTTATTATTATTTTTTATTTTTTTCAATTATTAGCGAAATATATTTTCTACGCCAAACTACTAACCCTTATTAGTTCTTTCAAAAGTACTACTTAACGTATAAAGAAATCACATGCTAAATTGCACCAAGTGTATTTAATGAAGCAAAAATCGACAGGGTAGTTTTTAAATTATTCCAAAAAAGTAGGGGTAGTTTTCTACTGCCTTTACTGGGATTGAATATACTGTGTTCTCTAATTCAACAAATATTAATTATTATAAGGTTCTATTTTTTAATATTTAATATTAATTATTACAAAACACGCTTTCAAATATTCCGCCATTTTAGTTACACTGCATTAAACTGCACTTATTGAACTTAATCGAAAGCAGGTGCAACAAAATCTGCACTAACTTGCACCGGCTGCACTAAATTGCACTGCAAATGGCCCAACGAACAGTATGAGTGCAACTGCACTATCCCCAACGAACACACAACATCTGCACTAAACTGCTTAGTGCAAGTGAGTGCATGTAGTGCAGTCCCAACGAACAAAGCTTTTGTAAATCTAGGGACTTTAATATACCGATGTTGCCAACTCCATCTGCAATCAAATAGACTAGTTTATCAGTCTACAGTTATACTAAGCCTTGATTAGATCAAATGATCTAATCAAGGTGAAAAACAAATTTTTTTAACCAATATTTATCGTTATGTAACCAATCAAGAACTGCATGATGACCCCGAAATCAGATGGGTTTACGAAATAAATCAAGATTACGCAGCGAAGCAAGAAAAAAAATTTCTCAATATTTAATATAACCTATTAATAAGCTATTAACTTTGTTGTTAATAAGCTTGTCACACCTTTGTGGTATTGAATGTATTACATTGTTGATGGTTCCTTTCGGTATTCTGGACGATTTGTTCTGAAGAAACTTTTTCCGAATTCTTGTGATGAATCTGGTGACTGTGATGGCCAATTTTAATTATGTATTATTTTCTTCAAACCATTCCTTTTCAACTTTGAATCAGTGTTCCGGATCTTGTCTTATTGAGATATGTAAGATAGATATTTTTACACTGATTTTCCTAAGTGTTCCAGATTCATTTTAATTCTACGACAAATCCAGAAACAATTTTGTAAATGTTTGAGATATCGTGATTTTTAAAATCATTAATAGAAAATCCAATAGCTCATACCTTGCTGGGTATTCTTTTCCAAGAAAGTTGGGTTGGAGAAATGAAAAAATCTTAAAATGTGGACCATAAATGATCTGTCCTCAGGAAAAAGTGATCACCACCATAGCCACAAAGAAAATACGAAAGACTATGATGACGTGCAGATGAATGGGAGATGGACATCATTCAAAATATATTATCCTATTCTAATTATCCTGGTTTTCTTCCTTTATAAAACCTTTTTGAACAAGAAAACGTGTTTATAATTATTTACACAAAATAAAATTACATAGAAATGCGAATTGACATAATAAAATATTTACAAAGACATAAAATTAATATTTATTTTAAGTCATTCTAATTTAATAGTATTTCACACTTTTAGCTTCCTCTCATAAAATAATAAATACACCTTTACTTCAATTTTCCGCAACTCTCACTAAAATTCTTTATTACTTTTTGTTATATCTGACTCACGCCATAAAGTTCTTTTATATCGCCATTTAAAAAGATTTCAATATAGCACGAATATATAAATCTTCATTTAATCTTTTTTTAGTATTAAAGTAAATAGTAAAACATGTACATCCCGTTAGAAGTCACTTTCTTGCAAGATTTATGACAATTGTTCATCACTTTACAGACAAATACGGTTATATCAAACCGCAAACAACGCCGCCAATCGCCAATTTCAAAGTTCGTTAAACCAAGATTTATGTTATATACTTGGGTTTTATCTTCTAACTTGCCAAATAGGAAAAATGAGTGGATGAGTGTGTGTTTAGCCTTCTAAAGAGAAACTAACAGAAATCGGCAGTAAACTCAAACAAATTGGTTATTCGAATTTTTATTCAATTATAAATTAATTAATTTTCAAATATTAACTGTCATAACAAAAATGTCAACAAATCTTAATCGAAAATATGGGCCATTATTTCTCTATTTTATATCGTCGTTTCGGGAAAAAAAGAGTAAATATGCGAATATTAATGGTGGGTTTAGATTGTGCCGGAAAAACGACGATTCTTTATAGAATGCGTTTAGGAAAGGTCGTAACGTCAGTGCCCACAATCGGATTCAATATAGAAACGGTGGAATTTAAGAATATCTGCTTCATCGTGTGGGACGTGGGTGGACAAGAGAAAATCCGTAGATTGTGGAGGCACTATTACGAAAACACGCAAGGTGTAATTTTCGTCGTCGACGGCGCCGATAGGAATAGAATAAAAGAGGCTGAAAAGGAGCTTCAAAATATGATACAAGAAACTGAATTGCGTGATGCTGCCGTTTTAGTTTTCGCAAACAAACAAGATTTACCCAACGCGATAAAACCAGTTGATTTAGCGAATGATTTAAAATTGTATACTTTACATAATAGAAGATGGCACGTTCAAGCTTCTTCGGCTTTAGAAGGAAGCGGGTTACTTGAAGGTTTAAGTTGGCTTTCAAGACAAATTCGTTCAAAAAAAAATTAATTAATAATTTCTGTTTTACGATTTATTAAATAAGAAATTTTAAATAAATTGATTCCCAATTAAACGAAACTATCTTAGGAAATTACTTCGATAACGAATTTCTACCGATTGATAGTAGAAACGCTTTAAATGGAAGTGCAATCAAGTTTCCTGTAAAGTTTATTACTTTTCGAGGAGATTGAATTAATCTTTATGTGCGTATATTTAAGTGAAATTGATTTAGGCAGAAGTTATAAACTAAAAAGTGGCAACATTTATAACTATATGGGAATTATTACTGGTAAAATCTTTCAATGTTGGGGAATGTTATCTGCTTTTTACGTGCCAATTAAGTAAAAGTCGCTTCGTAACTTTGTTGTGAACGGGTTTATAGCGGAATGTATCTTACATGTATAAATTTAATAATCTGACAGGAAGTAAATTAAAAAGTTTATGTTAAGTAATTTAAAGAATACAATCTAAGTAATAATTTTTTTTTGGGACTTAATAACAAACCTTTTTTTACTTTAATCATTCTTGATCACAATCTCTTTCTTAATGAGTTTGATCTTGTCACTACAGGTGATGTCCCGAAACTCAATTGATTTATGACTTCTGTAGTAGCATGGTTCATAAGGAACACATTATTAAAAAAATCACTATTTAATTGCGAACATTTCTGACTGTGGTACCTAAAGATACGATGTACGGGAACGATTTTTTAACATTTTCAAAAATATGTCTATTACTACTCAACTAAGACACATGGAATTTTGTTCTTATTTTTACCAGAACAGGTATGGGTTGGCCTCTGACCCGGTGCCCGTTTGACGTTGAGTTTCGGGACACCTGTATATACGACTAGTTTCGGGCTAAATGCCCATCTTTAGCCAAATCTATGCGCACAATAATAGAAAACGTACAAAACCCCAATTAATATGATCATTGCTTAGTTGCTATCTTGGTTAAAATTTCATTATAGTAACATTAATAACAACATTTATGTTTATCTTGATCAATCTTATAAATTAATACTTTAAAATTATCGACAAAGAACCAAGAAAACATTTAATAAAACACAAAGATTATGTTTTCTACATTTCGGAAATACTCAAAGTGGTGGCGCGAAATTTACAGATTCAAATTATTTAAGTACAAAAATAAAGATTTATATTGTATTTCTAATTGTTCGTTAAATAATTCGCCCTTATTATTAAATTTATGTTTATAAATTTCGAGCATTTTAAGGAAATCGAGGTTCAGACCTTTATTACATCTATCTAAGAGTGTCGCACCTTCAAAAATTAATACTATGTCCTGTTTCCAGTCCATGGTTAAAAACATTTGAGTTATTTTTAGTTTTGTGCTCATGTATTCGGGTTTCAAGTCTTCGCCCTGTTTGACCAATGTAACTTCCATCACAGTCGGAACATCCAATTTGGTAAACTCCATTCTCCTTCAAAATGTTTTTTTTTTTATTTTCTCCATGATAATTTGAAAAAATGTTAAGTAGGTTTGTTCTATTTGAGAAAACGAGTGAGATGTTATACTTATTAAAAATATGTCTAGCATTATAAAAAATGTTGTTGTATGGGTTGGTAAATCTTTGTCTCTTTATCTGATTTTTTATATAAAGGATCTTTCTTAACATTCTCCCTTCCCAAATGCAAAAAACATCGTCAATTTTGTCCATTTGAATATATGTTTCTTAAAAGGATTTTTATCGTTCATTATTTCAGTTTTTTTAATGTGATTTAGAAAGATATCGGCTAGTATTCCAGACAATGGCATTCCTATTGGTAAACCTTTTGTAATGATGTAGTATTCTTCATTAAAGAAACATCCATTTTGTTCTACTATGTGCTTTTAGATATTATTAAGAGGTTTTATTTTTATATTATTATTATTAAGAAATGTCTTAAACAATTTATCCGTTAATTCAAATGTTAGCTCTATGGGAACATTTGCATATAGATTCATTATAGTAATATCAAATAAAACCATAATTCTGTTATTGAATTTTATGTTTTTAGTATGTTCTATAAATTGTTGGGTGTTCCTTATTGAAAAACTAGGCACAAAGATAATCATTTTAAGTGACTTGGCTGAAGATGGGCATTTAGCCCGAAACTAGTCCCATATACAGTGTGTCCCCGTGAGGTATAATTGACAATAAATTTTTGAATTCAAATTCCACCTTTTGTAATTAAAGTCTGGATGTCATAAAACGAAATACAACCAAGTTTTACGTCAAATATCCTCAACGTACCAAAGTTAACGCAAGAAGTTTGTTAACCATTGCAGGTAAAGTGTTTTTTCTGAGCAATGTACAACAAAAGTTGATTAAGATAAAATGTTGGTTATGTAGTATAGCATATAAAAAAAAAGAGTTTGTTCTTGAAAATTTTTCTAATATTCCGTTTTACAATAAAAACAAATGAGTGAACTAACAATTATTATTTGATAGCTTAGCTTTAGCCTATTGTCAAATATTAATTGATCATGTTTACATTACAACATAAAATATTTATAGTGCAGTGCTATGGATTGGGTAACATTAGTTACAATGCAGTTTTAAGGCAATTTGAGGAAAAATTATGTGTTAGTGTTGGTGGTGGTATCATTGAATAAGCTTTTATGTTAATTTAGTTTAGATAGAAAATGTTTTGTTAATCTTATGATTTAAAATTCTGCATATCGCTATAATTTAACATAACAAACATTTTATCTTAATCAACTTTTGTTGTACATTGCTCAGAAAGACCACTTTACCTGCAACGGTTAACAAACTTCTTGCGTTAACTTTGGTACTTTGAGGACATTTGACGTAAAACTTGGTTATATTTCGTTTTACGACATCCAGACTTTAATTGCAAAAGATAGAATTTGAATTCAAAAATTTATCGTGAATTATACCTTACAGGGACACAATTCGGGGGACACACTGTTATAGTAATAAGTAGCAAGGAAGAAGTTTTTATCGTTCTATTAATAAAATTATTTGGGTTTAGCCGTCTTGAGAGACGTGTGGCTAAACCCGCATGTTTCTAGTTCTCAGTCTGGTGTTAGTTCTAGTGGTGGTGGTAGGTAGCGATAGTTAGCATAAGATATTACTATGTTGTATATTTTTATTGAACTAACACTAGAACTATCACTAGAACTAACACAAGACCTAAATCATTCGGGTTTAGCCGTATTGAGAGACGTGCGACTAAACCAAAATATTTCTAGTTCTTGGTCTAGTGTGAATTCTAGTGGCAGTGGTAGGTAGCGCTAGTTAGCATAAAATATTATTGTGTTGTATATTTGTTAAATTAAAACTAGAACTATCACGAAACTAACACAAGATCTAGAACTAGAATCATTCGGGTTTAGCCGTCTTGAGAGACGTGCGGCTAAACACGAATGTTTCTAGTTCGCGATCTAGTGTTGGTTCTAGTTTTACACTAGAACTATCACTAAAACTAACACAAGACCTAGAACTAGAATCATTCGGGTTTAGCCGTCTTGAGAGACGTGCGGCTAAACCCGAATGTTTCTAGGTCTAGTGTTAGTTCTAGTTTTACACTAGCACTATCACTAGAACTAACACAAGATCCAGAACTAGAATCATTCGGGTTTAGCCGTCTTGACAGACTTGCGGCTAAACACGAATGTTTCTAGTTCGCGGTCTAGTGTTGGTTCTAGTTTTACACTAGAACTATCACTAAAACTAACACAAGACCTAGAACTAGAATCATTCGGGTTTAGCCGTCTTGAGAGACGTGCGGCTAAACCCGAATGTTTCTAGGTCTAGTGTTAGTTCTAGTTTTACACTAGCACTATCACTAGAACTAACACAAGATCCAGAACTAGAATCATTCGGGTTTAGCCGTCTTGACAGACGTGCGGCTAAACACGAATGTTTCTAGTTCGCGGTCTAGTGTTGGTTCTAGTTTTATACTAGAACTATCATTAAAACTAACACAAGACTTAGAACTAGAATCAGTCGGGTTTAGCCGTCTTGAGAGACGTGCGGCTAAACCCGAATGTTTCTAGTTCGCGATCTAGTGTTAGTTCTAGTTTTACACTATCACTAGAACTAACACAAGACCTAGAACTACAATAATTCGAGATTAGACACACTCAGAGACGTGCGGCTAAACCCGAATGTTTCTAGCAACATTTCAAATTGTCCTAGTGTAATTTTTGCTTAAAACTGACCAAAAGCAACCCAACTTTTTGGGGCTTCAAATTGAAAACACTCCTCTGAATTCAAAAATAGAGTATAGGGATTAAAAAACATGAATTAAAAATGAAAATGTAACATTTGAATAATTAATAAACTTTGTAATTGAAATGAAAAACTTACCTTTCTTATAATTAACCTAGGTAAGGCCATTCCAGTAACCGAACAAACCAATTTAACGGTAGACCCATAATGAATATAACCATCCCGAACTTGAAATTCCTCACTTTCCGATTCGTTATCATCCAGTAAATGTATTGTAAAAGCTCCCCATTGTGTGGAACTGGCATGAAAATGTCCATTTTCCACATGCAAATACCTGGTGGACACCGTTTGTGACCTGAGTCTATTAAATAAAGCTACTTTAGTTCCACTGGCTATACACAAATCGGCGTTTTTCAATGATTGTTTCTTCTTTGATGGTTTTGATATAACTTTAATTCTCTTACTATGAAACACACCGATATCATGTCCCGATCCGTAAAACATCTTTACGGAGAGCATAAAATGTTTTCGTTTATCCGAATCGGATATATACAAAGTTTTTGCTGCACAATATTGTTTACCATTGTTTAAATCTAATTGTTGCATGTCTTGATCTGAATTTCCGATTCCAATGAAAGCGCACAGTTGTGAAGCTTGTTCTGTTCCACCTTCTCGTAACATTTGTTCTTGACGTAACCTCCAACCGTCTCCGAATAAATAAATACATGGAGGTGGACAAAAGAATCGTTTCTCATTTCCATAAGATTTTTGAGCTACTTTCGCATGTAAAATTACAATTACCATATCCGATCTATCTCTTAAATAACGTTCCATTGCCTCTCGAGTTAAACGCCTTCCTTCACCACGATAGCCACCAGGTACCACTGCTCCTGAAAACCTTGGGTACATAGCACCGTGTTGAGGTGGAGGTGTTGGAGGTGATTGTGCATGAGCTATTCCTGGTAAACCATATTGATGAGGCATTTTATGCAAAATTTTTTATATTTTTTAATTATCAAAAAATCATTATAATTCTTCTTTTGGTTTTTCTTTGTTTCCAATAATTAATTATTAATTATAAATTTCATCTTGATACCATCTGTCACTTACAAACTGTCATTTTGATCCTTTTTTTGTTTACGTTCACTTGTTTTGTTGTTTTCGATTACCGAAGCAATTTGATTGTTTTGATCCTTATTTATAGGTTATGTGGGGTTATGTTTGGTGCTCGGCGCGTATACGTAGTGTAGTTTTGTTTACCCGGCGTTCCTCGTTTGTTTATAGCACGTAATTGACAAGTTGATCGCGACCACGTGGTTCGGTACGCGGTTGAAAATGTACGCGTTTTCGACCCGAAGAGGTTTCCAGTGTGACTAAACTGGTTGGAAGGCGTGAGAAACGGGCAGATTGCGGTGTGTGCGAGAGAGTCCCCCCACTTGGTAGCCTGAGCTACCTCATACCATTCGAAAAACACCTGTTCACTGGGAGGATTTTCCGACAGTCTGGCCAACGCACTAATTGCAACTGTCTCTCTTTCGGGTACTATTTCAAATATCATTTCTCGATGAATCCCGGTTATTGTTTTTAATAGAAAGGAGTTCGAAATGGGATCGAGATGCGGGTTTTTAAACTGGACGCAACGAGTGGTCAATAAGAATTTGTTTACTTATGTAATTTTGTTGACGGTGATTTGTAATGATGGAAGTGTACGAGCAGAGTAGCGTTTTCGACACAGGGCCGGATTAAAAAGTGTTTCATTCAGTAATTGGGTCAAATATACATTGTAAATATTGCATATTTATTTATTATTTTAAATTTTAAGTTCACTTAGTTATATCATTGTTGCTTTTCTAAATATGATATACAGTGTGTCCCAGGATAATGACTTAAACATTTTTGAATTTTATTTTAAGGTTGAGGAATTAAGCTTGCTTATTAAGCTGCTTGGTGTGGAGAGAATTATAAGTACATTTTCATATTTTGAAAATCAACTCGGCCTTGATAGTGAAGCGAAAACTATTTTGAGTTCAGGTAAAGTAACCTTTTTGTTCATGATACAGCAAAATATTATTAAGAAAAGTTGTTCAGAATGAGAAATTATGGCACTATGCAAAATTTCAGAAAGATCTACCTACACTGATTAAACCACCATATTTTAGATTAGATCAGAGTGAAGAAAAAAAAAAAGGCAATGAAAAATGCCATGAAAAAAAAAATGACTTAAGTAATCGCAAATATTCACAAATAAATTGTATTTTCCCTCAGTTTTAGTTCACATTTCAAATACTATTATACAATATTTATGTTATTTAAATTAAAATGTGATGATTCAACCAAAGTAGATAGATCCTTCTGAAATACTGTATAATTTGTCATTTTGAATAACTTTTCTTAATAAAATTTTTCCGTATCATGATTCAAAAATTTTTTAAGTCATTATACTTCTTGTAACATCTATCCTAGGACACACTGTATAATCAGGTTAAGTGTCACTTCCGGTTGACAAATTTAGCCCATACGTTTATATGTATCCACGAATTTCGTCATTACTATTCTCATTTAGGAACTGTTATAACCTTCAAAATCGTGATTACGAATTTTTGCAAAACTATATCCGTTTTCTTCAGATGAATATTGACAGAATGAACTCAGTTCCCCCCAAAATGTGAGGTTGATAGCAATACAACCTAAGTTTTTTTTCTTTCGAAGCAACAGAAATAATGATCCATCCTTTCTGTCCATGCAAAAAATGATTTTGTACTGCCACAAAACCCGAAATGAGTTTTATAAGACATCAATTAGTGGGTTCCGAAATGGGTTGGATGCAACACAGTACATCAACATACTGTACATCTCTCCAACCTAGTGGGTAACGCAAGCCGCATAAAATAGCCTGAAAAACTGGAAACGAACTAGTCTTTTTACTAGTCTGACAATTGTAATTATGTTGACCACAAGATATGATTGCAGAGAAATTAGTTACAGTTGAGCAGCTCTTGACTTACTAGTTTGTGCAATGGCTCTGCAAAATAAATCAGAAATTCTTCATCAAAAGAAGGATAACAAATAATCTCCGTCCATCAACCGTTATATAATTCAGGATGCAGCCCACGGTGCAGCAAATGAATCACTACTAGCATACAACCACATAGTTCCAGTGTTTCTTAGGATCCTTACTTACCTTTACTCTATCAACATCCCTTTCGTGAGCAGAAAGTTGCCCTAGAAGAAACCTTAGACTTGAAAAGCTAACAAATTTTAACGCCGGCCTCTGCCATTCTTGTCTATAACACTAACTAAAAGTTAACTTATGATTTATCGAAGTTATTTTTGAGTCTAGTCTTTTATATATTTATTATATTATAGTCTTCTGCCATAAGTATTTAGAGTTCTGTTCGCAGTATCTACTCTTTTTCGAACAGTATCTAGTCTTGCTTAATCCAGTCACCGCGATCTATAAGGTCTATTGTAACTTTAGCCCTCCAAAAGTTTAGGGTAAATGTAGGTCCTTAGTGAACCTTAGTATTACTCCGAGGTCTTGTTCTTTTATGTCGGTAGATGTCAAAGGAGCTTTACCGAACATTTTGTGTCTGAGGCGGCCTCTGGCAACGCAATTGCACAGTATATGTTCAGCCGTTTCTGACTCGTCGTTCCAAAGTCGACAAGTTTGATCCTCAGCTTGTCCAATGTGGAAGAGGTGGTATTTTAGGGGCGCATGTCAGGAAACCTGAAAGCGTCTTAGATTCCCTTTGCTAAAGGCTAAAACCTCTTTGGTTTTGCGACGGAGTTATCATACTCTTCGCTTGTCTGTGATCTGGAAATTCTTTCCAACGTAAAGCTACCTTTGAGGGCTTCCAACTATTAATTACTTGTTTTAAGTGGCTTTTTTGTAGTCCATAGCCGCGTTGAGGTCCAATATAGAATCACTACTAGCATACAAACACATAGTTCCAGTATTTTAGGATCCTTACTCCCCTCTGCTCTATCAACATGCCTTTGGTGACCTAGAAGAAACCTTAGACTTGAAAAGCTAACAAATTTTAATGTCGTCCTCTGGTATTCTTCTCTATAACATTAACTAAAAGCTAACATGATCTAGAAAAATAGATTTATCGAAGTCATTTTTGAGTCTAGTCTTTTATAAGCAAGATTAAGTCTTCCATTAGTAGTATCTTGTCTTCTGCCATAAGTATTTAGAGTTCTGCCCGCAGTATCTACTTTTTTGTCATGCTTAAATAGTATGTAGTCGTCCATTAGCAATACCTAGTCCTCTTTCATTAGTACCTAATCTTCTGCCAGCAATATGAGTTATACCAACTGTATCTAATCATGTGCAAGTAGTAAGTTATCTTCTGCAAACAGTATCTAGTCTTGCTGAAGTAGTATGCAATGCAGTCGTCCATTATTATTACCTAGTCTTCTCTCAGAATATATAGACATGAAGGACTCCAAAGACTATGTTTAAAAGCATGGAATGAGACAATATACAAGAAAGATAAAATGCAAGAAAACAGAGTCTCTTCAGGATTGCAACAAGAATGAAATATAGAAAAAAATCCTTTTGGTGAAATTAAGATAATACTGAATATTTTTATATAGTTTCCACATTTGAATACGGTCCTGTGTAAAGTACCTCCCCTCTTACACCCGCCAATGCCGCGAAAGGATGTTGGGGTTATAGTCGGGGCGTGGGAAAATCATGGTGTGGGAAAGAGTGGGTGGCCTCGCTTCGACCGCGCGGGCGCTACGCTTGTTCGCCAGCCACGGCGACGACGACGTCGACGTCGCCACCAAGTTTATTTCGACGCCGACGTCACCCGATTCCCCCAAACATTCCATTTTCAAGAACGCCACCCAGCGCGATTCGAATTACCACCGTATCTACCTCCTCTCAATTTCATTATAACCCAACTTCATCCGCACCGCGCGACCTTATTCTCAATTACTTCTTACTTTAGATTTCGGTTTCACGACTACGCCGATAGATAGCGCCTCGCTTAACCAAAATAAGAGAAAAAAACGACCGTAACCGTGGGAATCCAGACAAATTTCACTTTATATTTTAGTTCGTTCACGTGATGGGAGTGCACGGCCTTTGGCGATTAATTGAGCCGTCGGGGAAGCCTGTGCCACTTGAGACTCTCGAGAACAAGGTCCTCGCTGTCGGTATCCTTTAATAAAAACAAAAGACAAACGCCCCGCTTAATATAACACCACTATACCTTCGTTTTATAGGTTATGTTTACGTTTTAAGTATTTTAACCTTAAATTTTAATTTTGATTAGATATTTCGATATGGTTACATCAAGCTGTTAAAGGATTTCAAGATCCCAAAGGTGGTTCTTTACCGAATGCACATTTATTGGGAATTTTTCATAGGATTTGTAAATTGTTATATTTTCGTATTAAGCCAGTTTTCGTTTTTGATGGTGGTGTACCTGTTTTGAAAAAACAAACCATTGTAAGATTTATTTTTATTTTTTTTAATTGGAACACAACTCTGTATATTTTATGTATTCTTTATTATTTTTACACTTTATTTTTTAATTCCGAGAAGTAAAATGAAAAGTCACGTTTACACAGTGTAATTTTTCAAAGCTATTTTTTGGCGGGAGTTTTAAAACTGGGATTTGGCTTGATTTTAAGTAAACTGTAGTTACGAATCTAATTACTTATTTGTAAATAAATAAAACTAGACTGATATATGAACTAGAACTAACATAGAAAGAAGCGCGGCAACATCTCGAATTTTCCGAGTGTAATTTTTGCTTAAAATTGACCAATAGCAACCCTTCTTTTTGGCGCTTCAATTTGAAAACTCCTCCGAATTGAAAAATAGAGTATAGCTGTAATATTACAAGTTATCTTCCAATTGGAACTTCAATTTTTATAACTAATGGAAAATAACACTAAAAAATGTTGTAGGCAAAACGTAATCAATTAAAAATAAAAAATACGAATGATGCCAACCGAATACAAAAGCAATTAATAAACACTTTACTAAAACATTCGGCTGTCAACAAAGTAATCGTAGAAAATGTTAAAACCTCTTTACAAATTTCAAATGTGGCAAATAAAAAAACTTCATCTTCAGACATGTTTGAGTTACCACCGTCGCAATTTGAGGTTGAGTATTCTTCCGAAAGCGAAAGTGAAACGGAATCCTCCTCCTATGATACCACAGAAAGTTCAAGTCCATCAAAATCTTGGGATTTACATTCCATAGATGAGAAAAGCACTCAATTTAAAAGCCTTCCGGCCGATGTTCGTCACGAAATCTTAACCGAGCTAAAAGAAACGCGCAAACAGAATTCTTGGGGTCGAATCCACGAATTACCAACACAAAGCGATGATTTTTCTGGATACCAAATGAAACGATTGCTGAAAAGGTACTCGATCCAGATCAGTTTGGAGGAGGCTGAAAAGGAAATGGGCGGAGCTTCTTTGTCTTTGGGTGAATTGGAAAGTTTATTGAAAGATCATGGTGTTGTAAATAGTAAGGATGTCGGTGGGAGGATCGCTTCTGATGAAAATAAACGGTACTTTTATATTAAGAGTATGAAGAAAGCTTTGGAGGATGCTAAAAATAAACAAGAAGAGGAAATCGAAAATATAGATGATGATATAAATAAAAATGATGTTGCAATTGATGAAGATTTAGAGAAAGCAATTACATTATCTTTACAAGATGTTCCATCAACTTCTAAATCCAATGGAAATAATTTTGAAGAAATTAATGAAAAAGAAATTGAAAAAAGAAAAACAATAGCTGATAAAGAATATGAGGAAGATCTTGAAAAAGCTATTAAACTTTCTTTGCAACAAACCGAAGATTCCTTTAATAATGATATTTTTATAAATGATTCAGATTCAGAATCTGAAGAATCTGATAATGAAGTGTCAAATAAAATATTGGCATCAGCAAAAAATTATATGACAGAATATAGTGGATTAACTCCTTCAGAAATAGCAAAAATAATATCTGGAGATCATACTAAGAAGAATGATAACAATGAAAATATTAGTATTAATAAAGTTGAAGATAAATTTGATGATTTTAAAAAACCGCAATTATCAAAACTTCTTGTATTGAAGAAACAAGAAAATAAAACAGAGTCAAAAGAAGACAATTTCAATCTTTCTGATGAAGAAATTGATGAAAAAGTCACCAAAAATGATGATGTTTCTATAATTTCAAATGATTCGGATTCTGATTCATCAGATTTTCTTGAGGTGGAATCAGAAACATCAACCCCACCCCAACCAAATGAAAATAATAAAAATTCTTTAGAAATAATGATCCAAAAAGATGAAAAATTTGATGATTCTAATGATATATTTAGTGATATTTTTGAGGATGTACCAAAATTGGAATCAAAATTGGAAATTGGACTGGAAAAAGAAACTGAATTGAATGAAGAACCAAAAAATAATAACACAGAATCAAATGTAAAAATTGTTAGTAATGTACTTTTAAATGAAGTGATGGATGTAGCTGGGGTTGGAAATGTTAAAGAATTAGATAAAGAAAAATTAGAAAAAATCGAATTGGAGCTAAGCGCTGAAAAAGATGCTTTAATTGCAAAACAATCGTTAAAAGAACGATTAGCTACGAATATTTCGGAACAAATGAGAGTGGAAGTTCAAGAGTTACTAAGACTTTTTGGAGTACCTTATGTTATAGCTCCAATGGAAGCTGAAGCGCAATGCGCGTTTTTAGATGAAATCAATTTAACTGATGGAACAATAACTGATGATAGTGATATATGGCTTTTTGGGGGGAAAACTGTTTATAAAAATTTTTTTAATCAATCAAAACGAGTTTTAGAATATAAATCAGAGAATATTTTACATTATTTTAGTAAGTTTTGTTTCAAAATTGTGTATAAAGCTTTAAGTCAATTAAAACACACTCCTCTCAGTTCCCACAACATATTTGAGGAGTTTTTGCTGAAATGAGTTGATTTAAAGCTTTCTACACTCAATTTTAAATAAAGCATAATCCAAAATTAAACGTCATCTTTTTTTTTTTAGAACTTTCGCGATACGAAATGATTTTATTAGCTTTATTAGTAGGAAGTGATTACACAACAGGAGTTCAAGGAGTCGGTCCAGTAACAGCTTTAGAAATTTTAGCCCATTTCCCCTTTAAAAAACAAGACAAAATTGATCTACAAAACGAACTCGTTACGGGACTCCGCGAATTTAAAAGATGGATCAAAGGGGAATATAACACAAAAGGCCGCGCAACGTTAAGAAAAAAATTAAAAAACGTTAATTTAAGCGATCAATTTCCCAGCATACAAGTTGTTGGTGCTTATTTGGAACCGCGTGTTGAAACGAGCGATGAAAATTTTACTTGGAGTAAACCCGACTTGGTTAGTTTAATTGATTATGCAAAAGAAAAATTTGGTTGGAATCAAAGTAAAAGTGAAGAAATTTTAAAGCCGGTTTTTAAAAGTTTCGAGAAAACCGACGTTCAAAGTAAAATTACGAATTATTTTCAAGTCAAGAGGAGAATTGATGGAAAAAATATCGATGAGATTGTTAGTAAACGTGTTAAAACCGCTTTAAATAAAATCGGTAAAAATGAATCTTCTTCAGATGAAGAAAAAGTTGTTAAAGAAAATAAACCTAAAAGAAAACAAAATAAAACTCTATCAAAACCTTCCACTTCCAAACAAGAAAATCCTTTACCAATGACTAATGAAAATCAAGATGATGATTTAAAAGTGTTACAACAAACTAAGAAAGTATCACGAAAAAGAGCGAAACAAATCGAAAATGAACTTCGATATGAAATGGAACAGCAAGAACTTCGAAAGAATGAAAATCCACAAAAAAAAATGGTTAAAAAACTTCATTCGAAAGAAGTTATCCCTCAAAAACAAAAAGATAAAGCTGATATGCTTAAAAGTCGAATGAAAGCAATTGAAACTTTTAGAAAATCTAAACAAGGTCCAGGATTTGTTAAAAAACGATCTAAAAAAAGTAATTTAGTTAAAGAAGATGCTGAATTATCAGAAGATAGTGATTAATAATTTACTTTTTATATTTATTTAAATACTTTTTTGCAGTATTAAACTTTATAAAAAAATTTAAGAATAAATTAATATTTTTATTAAAAAAAATCTTTTATTAACTACTTACATGAAAAAGCTTTTTAACCAAATAAATAAGTTTTTTAAACTTATAATACCACAAATTATAATTAACTTTTAATCTCTTAAAAAAATAATACTGAACCATCATAACCCTTTATTATTTATGAAAATGTTGATTAAATTATGTTAAAGGGTTAATTAACATTATTTACATGGTGAACAATGAAAATAATCCCAATTTATACCAAATGAAATCAAAAAAATCAATCTAAATCTCTATCATAGAATAATAAATAATAATAAAAACTCTCCCACATACTCTTTAATCCCATTAAAGTCAATAAGCACTTGTATTGGGCGATTCTTATCTTTCGCCTTAAAACGACACCTCTTGGCCCTTTTAAATTACCGTTTCTTATCACCCCATCACCGTATCTAGCTCTGCACCAACGTAACCGTCTCCTCTTCGATTCTTGTTTACGCATAGTCGTTTTTAAAATTGGATCTGTATCACATACATTTGACCAACCTCGACAAACTCTTGCAGCGTTGGTTAACGATCTTCCATCTAAATTTCTAAAGTGTAAAATTAGGTAAGATTCTTGTAATATTTACAATTTAAGATAAGATAAAGTGAAAGTCAAAATCTAACCTTAAAATTAACGATGTAACCTCGCTTGGTAACTGTTGGATGTTGATGCTGTCTTGAATGTGTGTTGCCATTGTCGAATAGGATTATATTTTCTTTTTAAATTAACATTTTATAAGAAAATAGTTATAAAATTATAACAATATGACGTTTAATGTAATGTTTTGACTTTTCGCCTTAATATGATGAATCCACCTAGCGATCATTTTTGTAAAGTTAAGTAAGCAAAATTTGTTGCCTATATTTAGGCGGTTTTAACATTTCTTCAAAATCTTTTTCTCTAAATACAATATGTAAAATTAACAATTAAAACTTTTTAGTTTAAATTTTTTATAAAAAGAATAAAAAATATTTTTCTGTAACAACAATGAATAAATCGTGTTTATTAAAATTTTATTTCATCAAAAAGTAAAATTAAATTAACTGTATTTTTTAGCAAATTTGATTTTTTGTAAAGAATATATTATCCAACATAAAATTACGAGTACACTCAATATATATAGATGAATAACGGTACTTTCTTGTGGCATTTTGCATTTTGAAAATGCGTAATTATTAGGTGTAAAAATAGCCTAAAAATAAAAAATTGATTAAACACCATCAAGATCATAAAAAAAATTTACCATTCCATAATTAGGGTTATTCTTATTTCTCCAGCTAAAACTAGGAATACTAATTTCAACACCATCACCTATGACTAATTTCCTAGTACAACCATGGTGCGTATGTCCAGATACAACCAATCTAGGATGGAGTTGTTTTAACAATTGATTTGAAGCTTCTTTACTAACACATTGCCATTTCTCTTTAAATAGTTGCTTCTTAATATCCTCTGGGGCAGCATCATCATCAGTGCATTCAATATCCGATTTTCTATACAATGGAAAATGCTACAAGTGATAAAATTAAACTAAATATAAATTCTTTTACACGATTTTTTTTAATTACTTGCATTAATATAGGGCGACTAAAAGTTATTAATTTAGATGCATCTTTGCATGATGTTGTATTTGGACGCTTTGTGCATTCAAATAAATCTAAAATAAAAAAATTTAATAACAATTTTGTATCAATTTAAGTTAAAATTTGCTTTGAATTTTTTTTATTTGCATTTCCGCAGGTTTACACAAAAAACATCCATCTCCTTCTAAAGCCATACTGTTAATCAACACAAAATGATTTCCTTTTAAACTCACTAATTGAACTGATGGGGAATTAAAACCAGTTACAAATCGATTATTTAAATATGGGCTTATTCTGCATAAAAATGTTTTTTTAATCTTCAACCTCAATACAATACTTCTTGGATCTTACCCATAATGAAACCCAATGTCGTGATTACCCACAGCAAGATACATTTGAACATCATCTGGGATATTAAATAAACTATAAAATCTTTCTACATATCTTTTAAATTCTTCGTTTCCACACCATAATCCTTCATCCATTAAATCCCCTATTACATAATTAACGTTTTATTATTATTTTTTAAGATTATAAATTACCTAAGACGAAAACTAAATCGGGTTTATGTAAAATCATCGCAGTTTGAAACGCCCGATACATTTGCCATTCTCGTCGTAATTTATCAAACCAATGTCCATTTCTTGAACCAAGCAAATGAGTATCAGCAATTATTATAGCTTTAACAGGTTCTTCCTTCGTTGGTTTAATTTTAACCTCTTCAGTGTTTTTATCTAATTCAGGCCATGAACACTACGTCAAAAATAAGATATTAAATTTAATTGTTTCGATTATAAATCTTTTTTACCTGAATTTGAGTAACGTAATAAATTAAAAATTCGTTAAAGAAAAACATAAAAGTTACAGCTAAAATTACTTGTATGAGAAGTTTTTTCTGATATTTGAGCGTTTTAGACTTCATCTTCGCGTGAATTTAAACAGATCCTTATTTCTTATCAGTTAGTGAGTATTAGAACAGATCTATTAGTTACACCTCCGTTAAATCTTCAGGTTTTATTGGGATTATAAAATTTTCTTTTTGACATTTGTCATTTTGAACTCTGAGGTTAGATAACAGTATCCGTGAAGTTAGTTATTTATAAACAATGATTGTTGGTATAATTTAATTGTTATAAATTATATAACATTAAATTAAAAAAAAAATAGATCTTAGATATAATAGAATATATGAATTTAAAGTACAGGATAGATAGAAGTACAGAATATATTCAAGTACAATTTGTTTGTTGTTTTCGTCAATAGAGGACACTACTGTGTACGATGTTAATAAATTTAAATAAACGGTTAAAATAAACCTTTTAAAAGATGTTTTAAATATTGAAACGGTATTTATAACATTTTATAATATTTTTATCACAAATAAATATTTAAATTAATGTAGTAACCCAACTTCTTCTATAATAGCTGACAGCTTATAATTAGTTGAAATCACAAAATAATAAACTATAGATAATATAATAGATAATAGGTATATAATATAGTATTATTAGTATTTTGTTTTTTTAAAGAAATTAATTTAAATAAATTAATTTATTAAAAAATAAAATAAATCGTTGTAAAATTGGTTGCCTACTCATAGTTTCATTTTAATAATTAATATTAATTAATAATTATTGACGAATTATATTGAATGGGTTATATAAATAAAAAAATAATGTTTATTGCAATTGTATTTTATTAAAATTGCGTATGAACGGTGTAAAACAATATTGAACTAATGTATGTGATTGCGAATGTTTGCTTTTTCGTATTCAATATCATTATCGTTATTATTATAATTATTATTTATTACAATTATTAACAGTTTTGCGTATCGGTAAATAATAGCACTTAACAACAGACTTACGGATACGTATGCACTTATTAACAATTAATTAATTAATTATAATCATAAGAGAGGACAATTCCCGATTACTTTTTTTGCTTCTTCAGTTTATTTTTTTACATACCTTCTCTATGTTTTATATTTTTTTCATTTTATTTTTTTTTCTTTCACGTGTGAGGATATATTTATTTGTTTATAATATGTGCTTTGAATATAAATTGGATTATTTAATTTATATATAATTGTATAATCAAAGAACATATTATTATTTAGTGTAAAAACTAATACATATTTATTTAAATTTATTTCACAGATCAAAGTTTTATTTTCTTTCATATTTTTTCATTTTTGGCACAAGGTACCTCTACGTGTTTTTGCAACAAATTAATTTAAATACATTCAGCCGTAATGTTTATTTTTTTGTTGTTGTTTATTTTTTCTACTACAAGTAGCGAAGAATGGGTTATTTTTTTTTCATTTGTGTTAGTTTCCCTGATTTTTTTTAACGAACATTAAACATATATTCAACAACAGGTTCCTAAATCATAAACGTTTCGGTTACTTAATTCCCATCGTAACTTTAAACTTCCACCATTTAACAACGTTTTCATCTTATTATTTAAAAGTTATGTTTTTAAATATTTTTTAAACGTTTTTTTTATCGTGATTGTCGAAATGATTTCTTATAATTTTTTTTAGGAAATTTTATAACCGAAACCAATCGATTTGGGTTGATAACATTTCTTATTAGCCTTTCTATACAGTTAATTTAATTATTTAAAAACAATGTAATGATTAAGATCATTTTCTTTCATTTTTATTTTTATAATACATTTTTTTTTGATAAGCCGAAACGTAACACTTCCTATAGAAATACATATCAAATTTACGAAGCGACAACGCGAAAAATTAATTTCTTTATTTTCTTTTAGTAATTAATTAATTAGACGTGTATATTTTTTAGCTCGTTTCACGATTCAAAGCGCTAGGTTTATATATTAATTTCTTTTTTTTTGAATTTGAGGAACTTTTTACGACTTTAATTTCTAATAAGTTTAATTTTTGAAAAAAAGAAAATTATTAAATTACGTAAAAAGTCCTCACATTTTTTTTTACTTATTCGTTAATCTTAATTGGTAAGATAATATTACATATCACGGTTTTTAATTTAAATTCTCTTGTGGGTATTATTTACATTAATGTAATTTTTTAATAATAAAAACATTTTCTTTGTTAATTTAGAATTTCTTTAACTAAATCAATATAATAATACAACAGGAGTTAAAGACACTATTTACAATGAAATCGTGTGCATCTTACTTACAGTTAGTTTTTAGTAAGGACTCTAAATTCGTTCTAAGATGAGGATTGGTTTACAAGATGTTGTGTTTTTGTGAACTTCGTTAAAATTTTATTTTTAACCCTTTAGCGAATCATACTATTGTAGGATATATCTAAAAAGTATTCACAAAGTAGTAATTATGATGATTTATCAAAGTACAAAAGTTAAGATGGATTCGCCTAACAGACGATTTGTGGACGATGAAGGATAAGTTTGGATGGAACTGTTAAGGCAGGCAAAAGTTCACAACGAGCTGTAGAGCCAAGCATGATGATGATGATAAAAATGCAAATCATCTCTTGGTGCAACATAAGTTTTCATCTACCATTGCAAAAATGGATTTATGGATTTCTTCCACATTTATATCTTGAACTGTTATCAGGAAATTCGGTTAGTTTTTACTTTTTTACACTTTAATTTGTTCTGCAAGAGTTTGTTCTGCTATTTAGCTACTTAGACGATCTTTTATGAAAAGAAAATGACAGACAGACTAACTCTGATTACTCCATACTGCTGTTAAAATAATATACCATTAATTAATTAATACAGCAACAATATCTTCTTGTATTTTCGCATAGGGGATGTTGATGTAATATCTCTAATGCACTGTGTAGCGTTGTAAACCTTCATCAACCTAGAAGCTTATATCTTCGAGCGTTCCGCTGATATCTTTATTGGATTGATGATTAGCAGTCATCCTTGAACCTGTTTTTAACATGAATAACGAGTTTTAATAAATATTTTAGAAATGAAAATAGCAAATGAGAACCTGATTTTGGTAAATTACGGTTGATTTTCGATCGTTTCTTACTCTACGTTTAAAAAGCTTTCATTTGATACCCAACATCCCATATTTTCAAACAAATTTAATTTATAAACAATTTTTAAGTAGTGAAAAGAACGATTGACAACCTGAATTTGGTAAATTAAGATTGATTTTCGATTTTTTCTTACTCTACGTCTAAAAAGCTTTTATTTAATACCTAACAACCCATATTTTCAAATAAATTTACTTTTTAAACAATTTTTAAGTAATGAAAAAAACAATTGACAACCTGAATATGGTAAATTAGGGTTAATTTCCGATCGTTTCTTACTCTACGTTTAAAAAGCTTTCATTTGATACCCAACAACCCATATTTTCAAACAAATTTAAATTATAAACAATTTTTAAGTAGTGAAAAAAACAATTGACAACCTGAATTTGGTAAATTAGGGTTGATTTTCGATGGTTTCTTACTCTACGTTTAAAAAGCTTTTATTTGATACCCAACAACCCATATTTTCAAATAAATTTAATTTTTAAACAATTTCTAAGAAATAAAAAAAACAATTGATAATCACACATGTAAGAATTGTGCTTGGATTTATACCATTTTTTAATCTACGTTTAAAAAGCTTTCATTTGACACCCAACAACCCATATTTACAAACAGATTTAATTTATAATCAATGTTTAAAAAATAAAAAAAAAAACAATTGATAATAACAAAAAAAAGATATAACTTTTTTGATTTTTATCCAAAACCCATCGTGTTTGGACTCATTTTAAAGCATTTTTCATTTTCTATCAATTTCTTTTATCAAATAAATAATTAAATTTGATTTTAATTACAATTTTTTTTATTTCTGATATTAAAAATAAAACTTTCTTATTATTTTTTCTTGATTTATAGATAACACCTATTATAAAGTTCGCTAAAGGGTTAATTTTTAATAATTTAAAGCAATCACTTTAGTTTATAATTGTAAATATTTCGATATCAATAAAGTTTATAAAAAAATTTTCAACGAAAATGTGTATAGTGTTGGTAGTTGTTGTTACGAAATCGCACAAATATTTTAGAACATCTTACAAAATATTTTAAATGTAAGCCGAAAATGTAAACGAATAAATATGAATAAAAAAATTTTATGCAAAAATTATAAACATATTGACGACATTGTATTAAATTCGTTTTAATAGAATTTTATTTCGTTAGGGTACCTTTAAATCTAAAATAATTTTCTTTCTTTTTTTTATATAGGCAGTGCAGTGTGCATTTGGTGTATGTATATACTTTAATATTTTATATCACAATATCTATATAGGAATTATTTGCTATTGTTTTTATGATAAACAATTTTAAAAAAATCCTAAAACGAAGTTCACAAAAATTATTTTTTATCTTCCATAATAATTAATCATTAATTATTTTTACCTGTCATTATAATTTGTATTTTTTGGCACAAACTAATAGTTCTTTTTATATTTTTTCGTCTTAAAAAAAGTGATCAGTCGATATAATTTTTCGTCTTCGACTATTTTTTTTTGTTCCATTAAATATAATTATGATCTGTTTTGGAATTTTAATACTGCAGATATTTTTCTTTACAAAATAAATAATTACAAGTTGTACATTTTTCTTCGTATACAGTGTGACGTTGAATTATCTCACGGTAAGTTTTAACAAACTATTTTAACGGCGAAATAATTCAAGGACACTCTATATAAATCATACAGATAACTATTTAACATTTATTTCTTATTTATATATATTTTCTCTACATTGTTGTCTTTTTTCTTTTCATTTCGTGTTATGTACATTTAACGTGGTATTCTACATGTATTTTTTTAAATTTTTTATATATAATTTTATTTATTTATAGTAAATACACAAATATTATAATACAATATTTTTCTTTTTAACATACGAAAGCAAACGAATTAATTTAAAAATCGCTTTAAATCTTTATAATACAAAAGCGCAATAAAATTAACGATCTTATTCTATTTTTATTAGCTTTATTATTATTTAGGTTTCGTGCCTCTCCCTCTAGTATTTTCGCTAAATTTTATCACCGAATTTTTTTATTTTTTTTTTTTTCATTAATAATTTTTATTAAGTACAACGATTTTCTATAATATGCATATTAACAACCATTTATTTTTCATTTTATTTTTGGTAAATTCCTTTTTTTTTAATGTGCTGTTTTCATGCAATCTACACACAGAAAAGCTGAGGAAAAACTTCGTTTTATTATTATTTTAAAGCATCCTACACAATATAGACGTGTGTGTGAAAATTACTATTTTGAACAATTATAATAATCCAAAAATGCATTATGTATGGAAGCTTTTTATCATTTAATTTATTTCATCCATACACCATGCATTATAAATTATCAAATTCTTCATTTTGCGAATCTAACATTGCAATGGTTTATTTATGCATATTATATGTGACTATGGGAGAATCGCAAGTTATCTTTAATTGTGATATTGAAATAAAAAACTAAAAATTTTAATGTTAGGAGTTAATTTTAAATAATAATAATTTAAAACGAAAATTGGTGAAAAGTCAATAAGGTGAAGGTCTTTAAAACCGAAATTAACGCGAAAACTATTAAAATGTAAATTTCTTTCTCGTTCGTCGTTCGTTCAAGATGAAAGAAAACGAGAATATTTAAAATTCAAATAAAAGTGTTCAAGCTATGTTGTAATTAAGTAAATTAAATTGTGGCGTAATTACAATTTAAATAGAATGAAAGGGATGGAATTGCATTTAATGGTATTAATATAAAATTGAATTTATGGAAAAGCTGGATTGAAATTGATATTTTAATCGAAATTATTAGTTCAAATTAAAGGTCTAGGAAATTACATGGCCAAATGTATTTTATGTAGCAGCGTATTTGGTAGTGCACACTTAGTCAGAAACTTGGACGATGTTGGACAAGCACAAATCGAAAATAACAGCAGCAGAGATGAAGTACCTACACAAGATGATGGGGAAAACCAGAAGAGATAGGATACGGAACAAGAACATCAGATTAATTAAGCTTAAAACGTTTGGTACAACCCTGGTCATCTGGTTTGAATGAAAGAAGATAAAATAACTAAGAAAATGTTCAAGATGAGGCCAGAAGGAAAGAGAAAGCGTGGTAGACAAGAGCTCAATGGGAGGGAGAGATTGAGAAGATGGTTGAAAGAAGAGGGAAGAGACTCACCGAAGTACGGACTATGGCCAGAGATAGGAAGATGTAGAAATGGGGCAAGAGAAAGAAGAAGAAGTATTTGGTAGTGTTAATGTGTTAATGGTAATGTTTTATACTTTTCTTGAAGATTGCAGAATGCAAGCTATATAGCAAATCATAACTGCACATTGAAGACTGATGATTATAGCTACAGGTAGCATGTAAAAAGCAAATCAATTCGGCAGAACTAAGACTGCAGCTTATAATAATAGCTGCTCACTGCGAATTGTAGCTTAGGAGTGATCATTGCAGCTCACTGCATAAATGCAAGACTGCAGAAATGAGCTAGAGGCAACATATTGGTAACTTATAATAATATTACTGTCATTATGTATAAAATATCAAGACGATCGACGTGCCTTTTGGCATGCGGCTTTCTTGTCTACCCAACCATCATAACCAAACACCATTCAACTCTCCCTTGCTTTCTCTCTCTCTGCTACTCGAATTTTGACAAGGATTGATTTGAAAAGGATATCCAGAAACAATAAATTCTGTTTTATCATATTGAGTAATATTTATGTGTTAGGAATAAAGTGAATTGTTTTAAAGATTACTTACGATTCAATAATCTAACCTACACAAGCGGCAGTAGGCCTCTGTTGGTGCAAGGTCTACACGTCTATTACGCGCGATGTGATATGTTTATGTAGGTTAGTTAGCTTATTGTTTCATATTTTGGGCGATCCCAAGATTTTTAACACCCCTCATCTTTCAATTTGTTATTATTATTATTTTAATTTCTTTAATTTAAAGAATTTCAATCGGTGATCTGTGCGGGCCCTGGCGGGTCACTAGCGGGGAGGCTCAGCAAATGTTAAGCTTCCAGGAAGATCAACGCCGTGGGTTTCGGCTCCAGGTTACTCTTTTTCGCTTCGATCACCAAAAATTCAATATCTTCGCGATCTCGACGCGCAAATGATTCGGCTATTAAACGCGCGACGTCTTGATGTTGAAGACCTTCAACTCTTGTACCGTCCACTTGAAGAATTAATTGACCTACTTCTAAACCACCAGCACTATAAGCAGCACCATTTTCCTAAGACAAAATAAATGAATTGTTAGATTAAAAAAAAATTGATACAAAGAAAATACATTAATATTAATTATTCTTGGTAATGGATGTTTGGTGTTGGCTCCTCCTTCTATGGCGATACCCAAGATGGGTTTGGTTTTTCTTACGCTTATCCGGAGGTTACCTTCTGCGTCAGTGACAACTCTTGGAGCTTCGGATCGATCACCTGACGCCAGTCCTTCGCCCCTAGCTAATCTTTGCATGGATTGGTGTCTTCTCATACCTCCTTCACCTTCAAGAAGCGATTGTTCGTCTTTCATATCGAAGCTACGTGATAATTTATGAGCAAGTTCCTGAAAAAGTTTTAATTATAAAGAGGATAATTAATAAATATTTATGCAAAAATTACTTATTACAAATATATTTTTTTATTTTTACATTTTGAAAGTTCTTAAAGCTACTTATCTACGGTATTTTTTCTTCTATACAACTGCACTCTCTAAAAAATTGCGCTTCTAAAAATTAATATTAAGTAACAATAAAAACACAGTGTTTTTGCTGCTCTACTTGAATAAATTCTAATAAAACACATGTAATAAGTGAAACTGACATGCCCCATGCAGTGTGGACGGTGAAAGTAAAAATCTTGATACTTGTTGAGAGATAGAAAGAAGTATTTTTTAGTACAAAATCCGTTTAGTATTTTTTATTAGTGTATGTTTTGTAATTAATAAATTTTAAGTGTAATTTTTTAAAAAAATTCTGTAAAAGCATTTTTTCTCAATACGAAAATTGTTTATCTTATTTTTATTAAATAAAATATTTTAAAAACAATGTTCGTACGAATTCACGCTATATTTCCAAAAAACGTAAATAACTCTATATCAAATTCATACCACACGCCACAACACTACAACACACAGAACTTGTAATGAAAACTAGACAAAAATAAACGAAATGGTTTTGGACGAAAAGTCCATTAAAAAAAGTGAGTTAGATGATTTAAGCCACAATAATCTTTTTTTTTTAAGATAAATTCTTTAGAAAATGGGAGGAAAGGCATCTAAACAAGTGTATATAAACATTGTAAACAGTTACGTATAATTTAACTTAAGTGGAACGCAATAATTATTAAATACCTACTTGAATCTTGAAACCTTACGGATCTTAATGCGGCATTTTAGCTAAACATAAATTTATCATTTATTTCTCGTAGAGAAAGTACAGTTCTAAACGTTCCCAACAACTTTTCAATTACCGTAAAGCATCTGCTTTATGACTGTAACTCAATAATATATTTATTTCGTTGAAAATTAAATTTTGCTGAAGAAATTTTCAATAAAGAATTAATTTTAAGAAAAAATATTTTTTTAAAGTATTAATGAAAAATGAGATTTAATTAAAAAATAAATAAATTTAGCTGCTCATCATCTACGACACCAATAAATCACTAATTAATAACAAACATAATTATTAACTAAATAATAAAACAATTTTAATGTTAATTTTTAATTTCGAGAAGATTATTTTATTTAATAATACTTTATTTAAGTAAAAAAAAATGTTTGCATGCTGTGCGGTGTGGGGTGGGCGTTTTATCTAACTTGCCAGAGTGAGCGTAATAATAAGTAATAATAATAAAAATTGACGTGGTTTGTTGTACAAAAGACAAGAGCGAGATAGAGCGAGAAAAAGGTAAAGTTAGGGTGAGTACTCGAGCACACTTACTAATGGTCTGCCCCAGTACCAAGATTTCACTTTCTGCGTCCAGCCACCTAAGCTCGACCGCAGGCCTCCGAGGTAACCAGTCTGCAAAACCAACCATCACACTCACTCTCAGCTGTTTATGCTGCCCTGGTACCGTGGTACCACATTGAAACCACTTGAAAGGTTTATAATTCGATTTGGTACCAAAAAACATTTTTTAAATTTTTTTTCATTATAATAAAAAAGCAAAGAGTTTTCTTTTTGGTACCAAACCAAAATTGAATTAGATTCTCTAATTGAAATACTAGCTCGAACAATTTTGCGTTACTCAAACAATTTTCTTTTGGTTCTATGCGATTCGTTTCTTTAAATTGAGAATAAAACGAATATGTTTTATATTAACTTAATAGCTGAAATATCTGGTTACATAAAAGTAATGTTTAAAAAAAAATTATAAGACAGGAACCAAAATGATTGGTTAAAAAATGATTAACATGCTTGGTTTATGTCATATTGATAAGACTTATTCTTAAATTTCTAAAGGTACAATTTCCAGATGTAAACCCAATATACAATTAAAGAGCTAATAGATCTGAGAAAATTAAATTTTTCGTTGAATAGCTTAATCTCGGTAAATGACCCTTCCAAACCTGAGATTTTAACTGATTATCGTTTAAAAAACGCAATAGATATATTAGGAATGTTGAATGTTAGGAACATGACAGTGAGAAGGTCAGTAACTCAGTCTAAAGACGAGTTGAAAGGAAATTATTGACTAATTTATACAAATGTAATAAATCAAATCTCAGTCTTCTCCGATGCAGTGTGATGCAGATATTATTGAATACTGTTACAGTTAATGGCGAATATCTCAAGATCTAGAAGAGGGTTACCCAGTCATAAGAAGAAGTCTATCACATTAGCTAATTTACTATCCATATGTTTCTGTCCTCTCAAAAGTTATAAAAAAGATTTTAATAAATTTGGTTTATGCCCTATTGTTTCCAGAACCATAATCAGGGTTCAAGGCAGGTTTTGGTTAGCTTGAGTAACTCTATACTGGAAATGGAAAGATATTATAGTAAAAATCGCAATTCTAAGTTGTATTTAGAACGTAGCTGGAACAGCAAGTATTTACAAAACATTATCTTCTATAGATTACTTGGATAATAGACCGTTGTGTATAGCTTGTCTTTGTCAGATATTTTCTAATTTAATTATATCAAAATATATAACGATGTACGAAAACATCGTATGCCACAGTACGTGTAGAATTTAAACCACACCTTCTTAAAGGACTTCACACAGCTGGAGTACTCAAAACATTCAAAAATTTGTTGCAATCATCAAAATCATAAATATTTTATTTATATATGCAAGCAATAGAATCGGATAATTGTAGTTTTGGGGAACTTCCAAGGTAACTGCATCAAAAGAAAAGGTCAGATTGGTCCTGATATGATTAATCTTGTCTAAGGTTTTGGTAAAATGACGTCACAATGGTCGCCAGACTTTAAATTGGTAGCACAATCCTCTTTCTTCACCGAACTGGGAAACAGCAAAAACTAACAAAAAGAAAACGCAGCAACAAGACCCAGGTAGATTCTTTTTGCTTGAGAATCTATTGCCATGTTAAACTTTTAACACAACATTCAAGCAAAATGATATTTTGGTTTGACCTGCAACCATGTATGCCACAATCTCTACATTTATTAGACATTAACTTGTCATAACAAAAATTTTGCAACTCCTGCTAATTAATTCAATTCTAGTACACAAGGAAGTTAACTTGGAACTAGTTGCAAGTGGAAGATAATTTTGTACCAAAATCATAATGGAAAATTTTTTCTAATTATTATTGTTTAACACAAAAATTTTTAAAACGATTTTCTTAATGATCCTAATTAGTAATCTTGATTTGTTTACTAAAATAAATTGTTTCTAAAAACCGTCTTGTTTTCTTTGTTACGTATCTCTCTATATTTACGCCTTCGATAACGATAATCCAATAACGTCAATGTTATTTTTATTCATAAATTAATGATATGTATTATTTACTTTCATTTTTATTTACGCGATTGCTAAAAGGATTTGTTTAAATATCCGTGAATATGCGAAAGCAAAGAGAGAGTGAAACACGTAATTTAATATCATGATCTCTCACTTTCGACAGATGAAACTGTACCGGATTTGACTGCACGCTTAATTTAGCATAATGAGACACACAAAAAAAAACGTTTTTAGATAACTTCTAGAGTGTCAAAAACTTTCTCCGAACTGGGCACAACTTTTAAATCAAAAAATTTTAATTTTCCATTTAAATGTTAGATAAACCAAATCTAAATTGTTTCCTTTTCTCGTTTCTTTTTTGAACAACCCATCCACTTGGAAAAAATCTCACCTACACCGTCTATTTATAAATTTAAACAACGCTCCATTGTCTTGGGCAATTAGCAGTCGTCGAACGAATACGAATTTCCTATGTAGGAGAGAAAACCTCTTTTTGAGCTAGTTACCATGCAAAAACTTCATGGCAGAAAATTTCAATGGGGCTTTTAAATCATTGAATTCGTGGAAAGTGCACGATTTATTGTTATTCTTCTGGCACACGTTTCATATATCCAGATGTCATGGAATACATCTGGTCTATGTAGTTTTAAAGTGAATTTCTATCTGTTAAGAGAACTTGTTTGGTTAGTTGTTAACATTTATCATTGCATTCTTTATGGGGATACTTTCACCGTGGATCTTTTTTTGTATTAAACCTTTCAATTGGTTTCTTATATTGTTATGTGGTAACCCCAAAATTTAAAATTTCTTGTTGAACCACCCTTTCAACAAAAAAATAATTTCTATAACATCTTAAACTAACTATACTTATTTGTTGTATTGTTTAATTTCTACACCTAACTATTCTACCAATTGTAAAATCTATTTATATAAATAATAAATAGTACTAATAAAACTCTTGATTCTATCCTCCTATGTTATATGGTAACCGCAGGATGACGTCATAATATTCCCCACAGGTATAAGAACTCAACTAAAATACATCGAACCCACTCGCACTCTTCACTTTTGATCCGAGTTTATCTCACTTACCTGGTCCTATAGGCGAGCATGTAACAAAACAAAGTGGAATGAGTGTGGTGTGCTCAGTTGCTTTCACGACTTTGCACAAGTTGAGCGGGTTATAAATTTTAAAATTCGTCTCGCGTGATACTCGACTTTGAAACAAACAACCAACTGGTTATAAAATACAAGAAAAAGCAAAAATAATCTTGCAAAAAATTCGCAGATCCGATTCAAAAGGAGAAAATTCTGAAAAAATCATATTTTGGATTTGTGCTGCGGTAAGTTGAATTATAGCTTATATAGAGAACGGTTACGTGTGGTGTATTACATTATCAGGTTTGGTTGTGTATGAGTAAAGTAGTAAAACTTGTATACATGAATGGGTAAGCGATGATCTTATGCAATGGAGTTGAAACTGTTTTAAAATTTTACTTTTTTAAGGGAAAAGATGTGTTAATAAAAACTTTATCATAAAGGTTTAAAAAAAAATAAATGTAATTAACACAATTTTTGAACTTAACACATTTGTTGTAAATGAGATTAACGAAAATTTAATTTTCTCCCAAATACTTCGAAATTGAGTAATATAATTTTTGAAGTTATTACTTCAAAGCTATACTTGAAATTAAGTTATAGCAAGTTATGGCAAAGTGAATAAATCTTTTTATAGAAAATGTTATAAAAGCAGATTTTGGGGAAAGTGAGGTTAAAGAAAAATTTTTTTTTTTGCCAGAATGGTTCAGAATTGAGAAATGAAACTTATTGAAGTTATAAAAGAATATTTGAGGTTGAATCTGTACTCAATTTTAAGATATTATGATGAACAGATTTTTTAATAAAAATTTTATTAAATCGATCTTTTGAAGTTGACGGATAGAGTGGTCTACACTCAACTAACTGTAATTTTTATATGGCGTATTGATAGATGATAAAGTATTAAAAAATCCTTGTGTTTCAAATTTCCTTATAATGAATGGAGGTTGAGATTCGGCTCTCTTCTTCGTAAGATCTTAATAATTTCTTTTTAAACGACAGAATTTCATATAATTCGTAATATATGAATGCAGTCAGTAACCATAGTTACGAAACTACTATGCATTTGCACTGTCCCATATAAAATGTAGCATAGCTTAATAGTACAGGCATTGGGTAGTTTTGTAAAGGAAAAGTTTTGCTTGGAAAAGCTGACGTTCTTTTGATAACTGTGAATTTGCGCCTTAAAAGACGCACGGCTACACCCGCAATGTTTCTAGTTCTAGGTCTAGTGTTACTTCTAGTTTTACACCAGCTCTGTTACTATGTAGAACTAACACTATACCTAGAACTAGAATCATTTGGGTTTAGCCGCACGTCTCTAAAGACGGCTAAACCCGAATGATTCTAGTTCTAGGTATAGTGTTAGTTCTAGTTTTACACTTGCACTGTCACTAGAACTATCATGAGACCTAGAACTAGAAACATTTGGGTTTAGCCGTACGTCTCTAAAGACGGCTAAACCCGAATGATTCTAGTTCTAGGTATAGTGTTAGTTCTAGTTTTACACTTGCACTGTCACTAGAACTATCATGAGACCTAGAACTAGAAACATTTGGGTTTAGCCGTCTTAAGAGACGTACGGCTAAACCCGAATGATTCTAGTTCTTGATCTAATATTAGTTATAGTAGATAAATGGATTCACCTAATTACTGAAATCCCGTTAACCATTACAACACCATCACATAATCTTCATTATTTGCAAAATGGATGTTCTCTTTAAAGACGAGACTACTCAAAAAAATAAGAACGAAAGAACTCTCCTCAGCATTCATAAAAATCTGTGGGATGTTTTCATTGCAAAAGTTTCTTTGAGGATTTAAAGCCAGACAAATATAAAATAAAAATTGTTTTCTGCAACAAATTGTATCTGCTTGAATGTTGAAAAAGTGGATGAAACACATACAAAATACATTATTTCAGTACATATTCATCAAGGTTGTTCTCGAAATGAATTAGTTAGCTTACACAAACTAATCTTTTGCCGAGTAATTAATTTTTTAATTACATAACGCTCAAAATGACTCATTTTAGATCCTATATTCTAAGTATTACCACACATTCAATGACTTCTCAACAAAATATTAGTCATAAGATATTTCCTATTATCGCATATCAATCAAGTTCGAGTTCCTTTAATATCAATTCAAAAATCTAATTAAACTTATAACATAAATGAGGATAATGAAACTAATTATGACTCATTTTTGTCTTATTTGGTATAAATTGGAACACTTTCGAATAACTATATTTTTTTTCTTAACAAATCAAGGTTGGAGTAAACCTCAAAATTTCTTCATAATAACTTAATAATTTTATATTTGTTAATGCCACATAACAACTTAAAACCGGGAAATATTAACGAAAAAGAAAAAAAAAACATTAATCGTTTTAGTATTATGGCGAGAATGAAAGTTAATCGGTTGAAAGTCGAGTTTAAATGACAAATCTTTTCATATTTTTTCTTTTTATTCTTTTGAATGGAAATTACCTCTCCGACGATTTGTAATGTTAACTCAAAAGAAAAAATTACAGTCATCAACATACTTTCTTTTTAAAACTTTTTTCTTTGCCGTGAAGTACTCTTAAATGGGATAAAACAATTTTGAAATCAAGAAAATTACAACAATAATATTAAATTGCTCTTATTATTTATACTTGGTGGTACTTGATAGTATCACGAACAATGAGGCATACAAAGAAAGTTATTGCGGTTTAAATCAAACTCAGTTTCTCTTATCCATATTAAATTCACCACAACATTTGTTTACCAACTTAATCAAAACTGAAAGTTGTCGATTAATACATTTTTATTAATTTATTGTAGAAATTGGTGTTCTATTTCCCATTTTTTATTAATCAATTTGAATCAATCCGAATCAATTATTATTACATAAATTAATTTTTTGCATCAACATAACTTTAAACTTCCCGTATACAGAAACACGACTTCCTCTTAAATCGACACGCTCTACTAAACCGACACAGAACGTTACCTGTACTTTTTTTCGTATATTTTTTCGTGCGGTTTAAATGGGCACGCTGGACGTCTATTATGACTGTAACGATGACATTTTCCCTATTTACTATGACCGTCATAGCGAAGCGGTAAACAGTGTGACAACTACTTCTTCTCTGTCAACAATAACATCAACTTAACCGTATACCAAGAGGTTAGCCTGTTTTATATACTTCTTTAAAGTAAGAAGGAACTACAAGAATCTTGGAGACGACGCGGTGACTGATACCGTTATGTTGGTCTCGAGACGATTGTACGTTTTAATTGCCAATTAAACTGTTTTAATTGTATATAAATGTTGGATCGGATTATTGTAAATAAATAAACTAGATTGAAAATTAAAAATATGTTAAATCTAAAAATAATTATTATACTTAGTTAAACGATTTTTTTTTCAAATTAAACGATCTACACTTCAAAAAGGCTTACTCTCATGAAGAGTTAATAAATTATTCATAGAGGGTGAATTAGAAAGAGGGATGAATTTAACTTTATAGTTATAGTAGGGCAGAGTTTGTAGTTTAAAGTCATTTATTAGCTATTTGTTGAGCAATATTGGAAATACTGACTAAAAAATAACTGCTGCACATGAATATGCTGTTTCTTTTAAAATTCTGAACTTGGTCAAAATTACGATCGTGTCAATTTTATCAATACCAGTGAGATTTTCAAAAAGTAATTTTATCTCTAAAAGTTTCTTAAGTTGTTTTACGTAAACAACAAGTTATTGAATTCTCTTCGTCTTGAAGATTGAACGTTTCAATTCATTTTTCATTAAAACTCCGAACCGGTTGTTATTGAACTCTTGAAATACAAGTCGAAGGTCGAGGGTCAAACTGACACAGACAAGAAAGGTCGCGCGGCCCTAACGGTACCTCAACAAGAACGAGAAAAAAGAGCCAGATACACAGCGTTGTTCTTCACACCGTCCACTTTAACAGAAGGAACAACCCACAAGAACCAGAACCACACTCCGTTCTACTTTCTTTAGGCCCCACAGCACCTGGTCTTCAGGTTCTTCCTCCAAACCAGCAGCCAGACGAGTTGATGTCGTCTAAGTGTACGAGTTGTGGTTCCGAGTTGTCTCGTCTTCTAGTTCTCCCGACTACATCGACCTCTTTTCATCTCTTTTAAATCTCTCGACTTCCTTCTACTACCATGTCGGGAAAGAACGATGAGAGAATAGGGATTTAGGTCAAGCTCGCGACTAAATGGGCGCGCTTCGAGAAGAGGGCCACGTCGCCCACCGCGGTATTATCTTACCATCCTTCGGTTGTAATGAAAATTTCAATTCACGCGACGTTAAAACCTCGGTCGCTAATAATTTTGCACGCGTGGTACGTTTCAATGACAACAAAGACGAGGACGTTAGTGTACACTTAACGTGCCATGAAATTATGATCTATTACGGTTTACCGTGTCGTTTTCTCGTTTTAGTACTAACCATCAAGTTTAAGCACTTTGTTGTATCATAGTTAAGAATTAATTTTATTATTTATAATAAAATGTTAAAAAAAGGTTCATTAAACCGAAAAAAAATATATTACACAACAATGTAGACAACATTAATCTTTAAGATCTAGATGAAAAAACCTTGAACACCAGATGGTTCTTAAAAAAAATAATAATGAGAAGAACTTTTTTTTAACGAACAAATTTTATTACGCTGACCATTATGGCTCTCGCAACGTTTACTTTATGAACCACAACAATGTAATTGCAACAATGTAAAAGATATTTTTACGTGAGAACGACACCGTTAAAATGTACCAACCAGCTGCGAGTTGTCCGCCTCTTTTTTATATTATATCTATAGTACACACTTCACCGACCATTTCGAACGTAAAACCTGAAGATACTGTTTATAATGCACTGTTACCACCGCGGTGCGGTTCGTTAAAGTCGCGTTCCCATGTAGTTTTTCATCGTTAGAGTCCCCATCGTTGGGCGTCCGCGTCCACTCGCGGCGGCGCCGTTTTAGCGTCGAGATCTTCTCCTTTATCTTGGCGGCATCTTCTCCTCACGAACGATGTAAATCTCATCTTGTACTCCACCTCTTTCTTCTTCTCTCCTCTTCTTCTCTTTCTATCTTCGTCGATCTGGACACAATGCTCACGAGGATGAGGACGACGACGCTTGGGAGCTTCGCGTCGTCGTGGTCTCACCTCATTATTATATGGTGGGAAACGCACTTATTAATTCTCGACTCTCTACTTCTTCGTCTC